ATTTAAAAAAAATATTCACAGTGATCAACCTCACACTCTCATAAGTGATTTTAGAATTTTATATTTCTCTTTGATTTGAGTCCACTTAATTAACATTAGAGTACTTTCTCAATTCCTTGGAACATTTTAAACAATTATACATTTGTTTTACAATAACTTCTTACCTTTTCATTTTTTCGAATGGGTAGCCTCCGGATTATCGAGATACAATTAAAGTGGTTTGAATACCTGTAATGTCGACAATCCCAAGTGGTTGTGAAACAACTAGTAAGAGAGTAAACAACTAGTGAGTCTAGACGTAAACTCCCGCCGGTCACGTCGTTAAAGCTAAGCCTAGGCATGCGTGTTACGTGTTTTTTTAATGTTTTTAAATGTATGTAAATTATTTGTGAACTTTGACGACCTTCGGAAGAAGTGATTATGTCCTTGGAAAACCTGAAGATGGCTCCGTTATGAGCCGAAACTAGTTGTTTCACAACCACTTGGGATTGTCGACATTACAGGTATTTAAACCACTTTAACTTCTTACCCATCCGCAGACTGAGAAGCCAGATGTCCAATCTGAGAAGTTGCTGGACGCTGGAGAGTACTACGTGTTGACACCAGAAGGTAAGCTACAGATGGTGAAATACACCACGGCCGCCCTCAGATCACCCGCCCAGCCCGCTCAGCCCGCCCAGGTCAAACAGCAACCCGAGCCTTTCGCGCAGTTCCAGGTTGAATACTTGCAATACCCCAGCTTCGAGTTCCAGCCTTCCCCAGCTCAAGTAAAGGCTGAGGAGCAAGAGGAAGAAGAAGCTGGATACGAAGCCAAAGTGGAGTTTAGAGACGTCAAACCCATCCCAGCACCGATCTACGCTTACAATCCGGCCCCCGTGGTCCGCATCCTCAGAAAATGAATTTGAAATGTGAATTTTTGGGTGTGGCAAATAAACAGTGTATTATTTATTAGTTAAAGTCTTGGTTTTCCTCTACCTATGAAGGATTACATTATTTATTTTTGACACCTAATATTGGGGATAGAAGACAAAAATTATAATTATTGACCAAGATATAATGCATTAATATGTTTGAATACGGTTTTAGGCAAAAAGGTTACTATGACATCTACAGGGAAATTTCGATGTTGATTAATTTCGTTCTGTATAGTTCAATGGAAAAGGCATCATCGTCCTGCATACTGCACTAATGCCTTATACCAATTTATAAGGTGCGTGGCTTGTACCAATACAACTTATACACTCGTCTCTCCATTTATGTTTCTTTGATATCTATATGAAAATGAATCTGTATCTTGACCATTCGTCTAACTTGAGGTATTGCCATAATACATAACTTAATTATTTAAGGCCCGAGCCAGTCACAGGTACTAAAGGTACTTTTACAATTACATCTAAAAATGTTATTGAAATATGATAGTCTAAATTTGTGAACATGATTTACAAACATTTCATAAAAAAACACACAATATTTTATCGGGAAATAAGTAAATCTTTCTTTATCATTGCCATCTCGACTCTCGGGGCTGAGCCGTCGCTATGATGAGTCAGTTCAGTTGCCTAGGTTACAGCAAACTGTTTGTTTGGTCTTTACACTCTCATATGAGAAACGGGATAAAAGGTGACATTGTTAAGTACAGTACGGTAGAGAGGTAGGTTTCAGTGTGCTTTGATGGTTTTTGGTCTGTTTGATCAACAATAATAGAAATATACATTTATTGTCCTCAATCTTTATAATAGGTGAGTTACCCACGTGGTTTAACTTAAGAATAAAGAATATTTTTTACACTTTTATTCTAACTAGAGAGGTTGAAGGTAGTTTTACCGTAGTAAATTTCAGAAATGAAGTTATTATGAACAACAATGAAAACAATACCTAAAGGCAAGTGACATTCCTTCACGAAAAGTCATACTATATAATATTTAATTTGTATATGGGGAATTTTATTACTACTACTATATAAAACACACAACGTACTGTTAATTTGAAACCGGATGTTTAGCTCTTGGCTTATATGGACCCAAAGGCTGTAGTTGTTTGCAATTTCCTAAGCTCTGATTTGTACAGTAATACTAATACATTTTACAAAAGTGGCCGTTATTTTACATCAGTTGACCATTACAATGAAATAAATAAATGTAGGCTGAGAGCCTTCGAATACGGTATGAGATTTTAAATTGAAAAAGGGCATCATCTTAAGTTTTAATACTTTAAATATGCAAAGTTTGTGTTATCTCTATTGTTGGATAAAGACTAACTACTGTGTTTAAAATTTTATCAAATTTGCTTATTGTTCTATTTTTGTTGAACAGATTGTAAATTAAATAAAATGTAAAAAAAAACTTTAAACCGTATCTTGTAATCTTGTTTGAAATCTTAAACCATAGCAAAAGGATTAATTTAAATGTAAAACAAAATGCGAAAATAACAAAGTTTGTTTTCAAGGCAAGGGAAAGATATAAATAGAAGAATTAACACCCCATATAATAGTGGAATCTAAATACCTCTGGGGCCCATTTCATAATAAACTACAAGTTACAGCTTGTAACTTGTAACTTCCATTAGATTTGCATTGGGCGATCAGCTGATTTACTAATAATATTAGTTTGCGCTTTATTATGAAAAAGGCCCCTGGTGTAAAAAATATGTAAATACATTATGAAACCAGAGGGTATTGAAAAAGATAACTTATACCGTTAGCATAACTATATGAAAACATCCAAGCTGCATGTAACTCTATAATCAACGGGTCAATGTGTTAACTCATTCCTTCTTAACTATTTTACTTTCTATGTTATCGGTAGGAGTCAGCTGTTTTTTTAGAAGTTTTGAAACTTCAAACTTGACATTATGATGAAAAATTAAAATGACAGCGACAACAATAATAATTCAACGATGGTTTTTTGTTTACATTTATTGTGTTTTGGTTGTAATGTAGTGTTAAGTGGTTTTCTATTGAGCCTGATTTACTAAGTGTTAATAGTGGTTTTTCAATAATCTAAACACCAAGGCATTACGTTTTTATCTAGGCCTACCCTAAAAACATAATTATAAAACAAGACCCAGGTACTGTATGTAAAAGCTTAGACCAGAAGCCTTGATTTTTAAGTATTACAAAAGGAATAGGCCTACATTATTGCTACAATTTACTGCTACATTATTGCTAATAATTTATCAAAGCTAGGCCTAGTCCTGCAGAGAATAGTAGCTTTGATAGTAGGACTAGTTTAAAGCCACATCACTCGGGACAAAATTGTGACTGATCTTGTCTTCAAAAATTCCAAAAACAGCTTCCAAGAAAAAGCGGGGAAACAGCGCTGTGTTCCCGTGCCACCTCTAAACATGTTTTGTTGATTGTTGTTAAAAAGCTAATGTTAAATGGTCCAGTAGTGAAAGTGAGGCAACTGAGTTCAGTTCAATCGTTCGAAAAATCAAACCAGCTGCTGCACTCCTCATGGGATGGCAATCATGTTCCTTGTTCAATAATACCATTGACTTTATGTGGTAGCCTAATTAATTGAAGATTTATGGCTAAAAAAAATGCTTCATTCATAATAACAGAATGCATTTTATCAAACTACAAGAGGGGTTTGCTACCTTTTAGTATTGAATAGTTAATGTGTGCAAGTTATCTTATAGAGCTCATGAGTCATATTTCTAGGGTAAATAAAAAAACCACGCCTTGTTCAAAGGTTTGTAATGCTCTGCACCCCAACCTAAATCTTTAACTATACTAAGTGTGGGCTCGCCGCTGGTTCAATTAAGTTATTTTTCAGACTATGAAGCGCCACGAGGATAGAAAGCGAGGCTCGTTGTCTCAGTATTGCGATGGTAGAGGAGACAGGAAGACCAGAAAGGTGGAGCCTGAGAGGGCCATGATACCACCTGAGTTGTTCACATTGCCCAAAACAATCACAAGAGATCCAAGAGAGATCATGAAGAGAAAACCAGTGACCAAAGCTGCCCAGAAAAAGGCAGCTTTGGCTAAGGCGAAGGAGGAAGAGGTGAGGTTAGGGTTTTGTAGGCCTTTTAAGACAAAAGTGACTCAATTTTACTAAGGTTTGAATGTTTTAGTAGGTAGGGCCTACCGTACCGATTACTCAATTGCCCTTACAGGTCAAAATTATGTGTTTAGGCCTACTGTGAATTCTTGTTGTATTAATTGAAGATCTTAAACCTGCCTCATAATGATCACACCCTCCTATTATGTTATTTGAGTTTTTTAATATTGAAAAATTAGCAAAATGACAAAGCTGGACATACCTTCTATAGCCTATTTATATTTATTTATTTATTTATATGGCAAAGCTGGACCTTTGCGATGTATCATTTTTATGATTTAAGCTACCTATTTCTTACATTTAAATGTAAAATAGTAGCTCAATCTGGCTTGTTTTAGAACAATTTACCAAAACTTTTCCTGATAAAAAAAACTGATAAAATGCATGAAAACACACACTTAAACTGTTTTACAATTAAATGAAAACAAGAACGATCCCTATGACTGAGGCTATGACAACTTTTAGATCCAGTGGAGTTGACCTACCACTGTTCCTACCATTGTTCAGGAAGAATACAATGTTCAAAGTGATAAAGTAATGAGTGATGTTATATTTAAGCCCAGTTCTTGTAGATATTTTCTATATTTTGACTAACCCAAAAATAATGAATGAGTTGCTAACCTGAAGGCTAGTTTCTTGGATTTTGAACAGGTGATAGAAACAGTTCAATTCCCGGCATATTCACTAAAAGTGTTTCTGTCCATACATTTTGCATGTGCCCACTAAAGTAAAAATTGAAAGAAATACCTACTCTTTACCAACAATACTTAAATTTCAATAAGTAACAGTCCAACTTTAATCCTAATTTCTATTAAACGTTTTTGTTTAAGGCAAAGCTGAGATCCTACACAGCACTGAGAAAGGAAAGAGAAGAGTTTCGTCAACGGTTAGTCAAACTGATTGTGAAGAAAGATCATGAGGAAACAGGGACGAACACATTCCCTACAGCTGATGAAATGGAACTCTTGCGGTATTATTACTATATCCGCCATGGCATCGACACAATCCACATTGCTCCGATTGAGAAGTCGTGGGTGGATCATGTTTTTGCATTGATTCCAGACAAATTGCGGAAACAAACTGAAAGCTTGGAAAAGCTGACCGCAGAGATGAAGGTAAACAATACCCTGTCGCTATGTATAGAATTAGAATTTAAATAACTTAAGCCAGGTTCCATCGACACTTCTGTCCTGAGAAAGATAAAAAATCTTCCATTTAACCTCTGACAATTTTTAACACATCAGATATCAAAACATTGATATATATATAACATAGATTAATTTACTCTGTGGTTTGTATAGTCTGTTTGTAAAATTTATGCAATTTGAGGCGAAGTTCCCCCCAAAATTTTGTTTTGCTTAATGGATGCTGCAGCTGATTGACGGGTTGCATAAATGTTTATTTTATATCAGCTGTTGAGCTACTGTTTTAAAGGTAGGATCAAGTGAAGGTTTCTTCCCCTAAAACTGCCTAAATTTTGTGATTATAGTATCCTCCCCTTCCATCAAAAACACCATAACTGCAGTTGTATCGTAAATCAATGATGTAGTCGTCGTAAATTTTCATGTGCAGGATTAAAACACAGGTTTTCTAAAAAAATATATAGAATTTTTGGAAAGAAAGCACATGGGGGAAGGCGGTTCCCGTCCCACTACATCACTGGGTATAATATAGCCTATAAGCTTAATCAATAATTGATAAAAATAAAAGGATTACCTTATCCAACCACGGTTGCTGGTATGACAACTAGTTTCGTTCCTTAGAACTTCGTCAGGTCATTGTATGCAACCTCATTATCAATGTATTATACATTTGTGGTATGTCAAAAGATTCTTTAAAATACTGTCAAAATCACAATAGGTCAAAGTCTCAAAACTAGTCATGTTGATTAAATGATAAAAATAGAAAAAACAGTTATAAAACTGGTTAAAACTGTAAATGCTGCCCAGCACTTAAAACTGACTGAATCATTAGGTGTCTTCATCTCTCCAGTGCCACCTGTATTTTAGTTTGTTTTGTTCTTTATTATACTTCTTTGATTTGTAGCTTCTCAATATATGCATCAAATATAATATTATATTAATACTAGCTGACCCGGCGAACTTCGTATCGCCTAAGTTATAGGTTTCCCCTAAGACAGACCGATGGAAAGAAAGTACCGTTACGTTTAATTTTCAAGATGATCTCGTTCGCATCGCTCAATCACGTCCTGGTTGAAGTTCGTTCGCTACGCTCACTCACCTTTGGGTTGGAGCTCGTTCGCTACGCTCACTCACCTTTTGGTTGCAAATTAGCTGTTGTCATAAATGTAAAAGAAATAATAGTGCTGCACCCTGTTGGTAATCCTTGTAACTTTAATGCTATTGAACATCATAGAACAGAACTTGTTTAATTGAAACAGCTGTTAAGATTCATTAATTCCATTTCTCATAAGGTTAACATGGGAAACTCCAGAGCCACTGGGGCGGAGCCCTTTTAAGAATTTCGAAACGGGAAATAGTTTACGTCCGATTCGCATACCTACAGAATTTACACACCAAATTTCATAACGATCGGTGAAGTCGTTCCGGAGGAGTTTGCAGACAAACACTGTGACACGAGAATTTTATATATTAGATATAATATAATCAAAAAGTTAATCAGTTATGCATTGCTTGTAATATGTTACCTTGATTAGATGTGTTCTTTATTGCAGCACCCCAGGCTCCAACAAACTTAACTTAGAGCCAGTCCTACTATATCATAATAATATTGTCTTATTTGTAATGTTACAGGAAGACTTTATGATGGCAATTAAAAAGGCGACAGTTGATTTTGTTCTGAGGGATCCGAACGACACAAATGCTGATTCACTCCTGCTGCAAGTTCACACTCCGCTGAGAGATGAACTGCCAATGTTGACAAAACTGTGGAAACCGTCCTACGATGCAGCTCGTCAGAAAATACTGAGAAATCTTCACACGGTCAATCCCCTGCTTGCTCAGATTTTGGATTTGTGGCATAAGCACTTCAGGTTGGCTAAACATAGTACCTATGAGATTTTTATAAGGTAGACCTAGTTTGCTAAATTGAAATGATATTTTTGTAGCCCTTTTTTTCAAAAATGAGAATTCCTAAGTTCTAATAAGGTACTGCAACCCTTCAGCAAACTCAAACAATGAGAGCTCAGTGGTCTCAAAAATATTTTAATTCCATGATGACTTTGAATTAATGAATCAATTGAAGACGGTTTATATTACCAGATCCATTAAGTGATGTATTTTTAATAATACACCCCTATGGATTTAGATTTCTACAGTTCATGTTCAGGGGTCTTAGGAATAACAAAAGAAGGTTAGAATATAGGTACATCCCTTGGATGTTGACGTAACAAATGAAAATAACTAGGTAGTCTATAACTATTATAGGTAGTTAACTGTCTTGGATCGCTTGAAAGATCAGGTAGGTAAGCAGTTTTCAAAAAAAATTAGAGAATATGAACAAGTGTAGGAATTTCTGGTTTCTATGTGGATTTCAAGACATTGGACGATTTCACCTTACATATGAGTAAAAAAATGATTTTATTTTATTTTATTTTTATTTTTATTGCAAACATTAGTAATGATTGCAATTAATTAAGTAATGGATGTCCACATTACTTACTTTCCAGTGTATGGAAACATTTTGAGACATTAATTCTTTAGTCAGCCATAAAAACGTTCATCTATTGACTAGTTTAATTCAATCGCTAGTGACCTGAGGTTGGTGGATGTGAAGACTTTGTCCAAATCTGAGTCGGCTTTGGAGCTTCATCCCTTCGGCAAACAGGTGACGGCTCACATTGACTATGCCAAGAGGCACTTGCTGACCGAGTGGATACCTTCCATACAGGCGATATTTGTACAGGTAGGCTCCAACCAACCACAATAACTGTCAAGTTTCCCTCTGTACACACGGGAAAAAGTTGAATGAACATTTTTCTAAAGATTTATTGTTTAGCTACGGATGTTAGCTTTGATTACTTTATTTTTGGTTTCAACAGGTTATTCCTAATAGTCCTAATAGCCAATCACAATAACTGTCAAGTTTCCCCCACACATGGGGAAAAAGAGGAATGGACTGATTTAATTTTTCAAAAGTTATATTTTTTAGCTACTGATGTTAGCTTTGATTACATTTTTCATTTATTTTTTGTATCAACAGGTTATTCAAAATAGACCTAAAAGCCAGGTTTTTCTGGTTGTCAAAATAGAATATTTAGGCAATTGTGAACTAGATGGTGTTTATAGTAAAAGGTAGGGTACTACTGATATGGAGCATTATATTAAAGCGAAGTTCTTTATAAGACTATTTATTTGTATTGTCTAACAACTGTTTTTGAACATTAAAAGAAAATGCATACATTATAAAAGTCAAGTCATGTAGTATTGTTTATTTTTCATTAAATATCTGTTAATATCTTCTGTTGGAACTACAAACAGCTTCACAACTTATTAGAAAAGCTGTTTGTGTTGTAGTCCAAATCGAAATGTTCAATTTAACTGCTTGACTCAAATGTAGTTTTTAAAAAGGATTACCGTATGTAATTTAGAGGATTCTTTGTGAAACAGTAACCATTTGTTTAGTTTATTCAGTGATGCTATCAATAGTGGCATTGCACTTTAATGGTTGACCTTTGTTCAGGGAAGCAAGAAGAAGCAGATTCCGGCAGATCACTTGAAGCGAAGGTTGAAGCGTTTCTATGACTGTGTCTCAGCCATTATGACCTTCCAACTACAGTCCCTCTGTCTCAACTCTATATTGGATTATACTACTTTTATTCTGGATATCGGGGTTAGTATACTAAAGTAAAATTATTATTTGAAAGGTCTATTAATTATTGGATGAGTAGCTTCCTCCACTAAAAACTAAAGTAGGCCTAATTATGTATTTAAGTTAGCGATTTTTACTAGACCTACTCTTTACTCAGGTATATATCTAAGATAAGATTCCTAAGGAAGAAAATTATCCAACATGCAAATTCCAAACCCACACTTAATTAACTAAACCACATCTACAAATTAATTAGTTAAGGGGAATTTGCATTTAGGCCTACGTAATATGAGTCTATAAAGATAATGTGAACACTTTAAAGGCTTGCAGAAGCTTTGACTGAATAATTGAAAATGTTTCTCAGTAAGCATTATGATGAATAAGGAAGTTGTGTTTCTAATTTTGCTTAAAATCTTCTTTTAGTTTCTGAGAAATTGTATTTGCAAAACTAATTTTACTTTATGGTATTCTAAATAGCATTGGGCAATAATAATAATAAACATATTAACATATTAATCCTTTACAGAAATGTTTTCATTACTTTTTATTTGTGTTGAATCAAACCAATTAGACTAAGGTATTACCGTCGTTTGCAAAATAATAAGAAGCTAGCTATGGTATAGTGCCAATAATGATTTGGTTAAAAAATATGTGTCCAAAACAATGAAACAACACAATATGAAAGTTATTATTTTAATATCATTTTATTGATCTATTTTATTTTATTATTCTTTTGTTGGCGTTTATCGTTGGTAATTCTCACTTTTGGTACATTATTAATTGTCATTATTTATATAACATATTTATTTTACAACTAACCCATTGACAAAAGAATTTTTAATTTTTTATATTAATATTTTTTTATGGTTATGGCCTTTTATCTAATTTATCGTATAGGCTATGTATTTCAACAGGATATGTCCATTTTTATCAAAAATAAAAGTCGAAAAATTAAAATCTGTGTTCTCCTCCTATGATATCAGTTACTGTACACTCACTAATGCCGCTAGCTTCCACCCAAGCCCTATACTCCTTTTTCATTTTACACGTTTTATTGTGGGCCCTCCACTCCAGCTAAGCCACACATGAGCAAGCTCAATTGCACATGTACGGGATTCAAACCAGCGTGCTTGTAGCCGACTGAGCTATCATGTCACCTTTGGCTGAACGGGTCGGTTGCCAGTTTATGACGACACTAGCGCTCTTTGGTTGGATTCGACGTACTACTTTAGGGCCAGTGGGTTAGCAGTATGACAAAGTTATCTCATGGCAAAACACGGTGACAGGCTACACACATAAGTCATTGTCAGGGTCTTTTGATAGCTGTGTTGATTGAAAGTATCATTAATTGAAGGTCTAGTCTAGAATAGATTTTTCTGAGGACTAACGTGGCGACCTTCGGATTTGTAGGCAACCAATACAATTTGTCTAACTAGTGAGAACAACCATGTCTTGTTTGCTCAAGCAGGACTTCCAACAACCTCCCATTCGATGTCATCAACTACTAATAATACACTACTAATATTTCCTATTTACAGATGTCCAACCCTGGGTTTGAGATAAGCATTCTTCAGCGGAACAAGATAATCCAGTTTGAACCGTCGTTCGCCAAGTTCCACGAGGTTGTACTGCGAGTGTACGATCAGATGATTGAAGCTGTCAGTAGGATACCACGTTTGGAGACTAAGCTGTACATTGATCTGGAGGACACGCCCAAAGAACTTAGGGTAACATTACGAATAATTACAACTTGTTAATGGTCTCGTAACTCTTTACCAAGTTCCTCTACTAGGCCTACGTAAGGTGTTTTAATCATTAGAATTTTCTACCGTAGAGTAAGACTGTCTAAGTTTCATGGAGTACACTTGGTAGATTGGTCAATTTCGACTGAAAAAATATGCCACCAGCAAAGTTTTGACTAGCTCTGTTTGGGTCAGGGTAAGTCCTGAATTTGGGCCAAGCAGACACTCGGGCGATATTTTATAATTAATTCATTTGAGGGCGCCACCTTGTTGAGGGTTTACTAACAGGATGCAACAAGGAACCAATCCTTCCCAGTCCGAGTGACTCCTTCAGTAAGCAGGGAGAAAAGAGAAAAAAATCTAACTATGTCAATGAGCTGTATTTACACTAATGAGGGACATATCATACCCAAAATAGACCATCTTAAAACTAGCAAGAAATATTCAATCAAGTGAAATAGGCTACTATGTTCAGTTACACTAACTTAATTATATACCAAGAATACCAACAACATCAATAAAAAGACTAAATTGAGCTAGAACACAATATTTATTCAAATAAATTTCAAAATTAATTAAAAATGGTTTTTTTAAATACCTTAACTGTCAGGTGATCCTTGGAGTAGTTTACACTACTGCAGTTTCAGCCCTCAGGGGGCTTTCTTCAGGTGTCAAAGGAGGTCAAAAGTTGTCATTCATACAAATTCGTCACATTTAAACTACGAGAACACAAATATGAATACGGACACGAACACGAACATAAAAAACGAATACACACGTAAGAGTCATAAACATTTCCCATGGGTTAATTGATGCACGACGCGTGCGAGGAGCTAGCCTAGACTAGCGTTATCAAGGTTGCAGTCCTTTGTTTTTGATAAGATAAGGGAGGGGATAAAGATAAGGGAGGGGGTGGACAAAGGACTGCAACCTTGATAACGCTAGTCTATAGACATATATCTAGAGACATATATTTTTTTATTATTAATAATGGTACGCATATGAATGGTCTTCTAGGTAGGTATCACAACCATTTTACTAAACTATTTGTGTTTGTCTTAACTTAAGTTGATTTCCTTTCCAGCCTGTGATTTTAGATGAAATTGTCAATGAATGTAGAACGAAAGTAGAAGAAACTCTTCACGAGCAGAGAATCGGACCTGAACTGCGAGTCCAGGACTTTGACGATTACATCCATCTCATCAACGGAGACGTGAGTTACAAATTAAGATATCAAGCAATAAAATGCTACAGTAATTAAAAAGTTTTTAAATACTATAGGTAAGCGGAGTATTTATTTATGTTCCTTCCCCACCTATACTGTTTGACTTTAATCGCATACCGTCTGCATGGTTTGTGGAGGAACATTTATATTTAAATAATATTTACATATTATTATGAAAATATTTTCAGGCACAAGAAGAAGTAGAGAAGTTTCTGACCGAGGACCACTCGTTTGAAGACTACAAAGTGCAAGTTGCGTTGTACGACACGTTGATGAAGGAGATCCCTATCCAGCTGGCACATGTCATAACAATGGGACTGTTTGAGATGCATCGCGAGGAGCTGATCACAACAATGGTGTCCCAGGCGAGGAACCTTCGCGATCAGCTGATAGCTCGACTCACACGCGACTACCAGAACCTCTGCAAGCAGTAAGTGTGGGTTAGGCTCGTTATAGTGATTATCAGAATATTTAAATGATAAGATAAATTTATGGTTTTTATCCAAAGAACACTAATACCTTTACACGGTTTGCACAACTACTGCTTTAATACTCTTAGGCTATGTTTGATTCGACTAAAAAACTGAAAGCGAATGAAGTTGACTTGGTTAAAGTAAAGTGTATTGTCTTCTGCCATTTTTGTGATTGTAACTAGTTGACTAGTTGGTTTTCTTACTTAAAGATTAAAGTAAGTCTCATTTATAGAGTTAAGTAAACTGGTAAGGTCATAACAAAACAAGATAATGTGGTTTAACAACTATATGTGGACTATGTGGTTATGTGGACTTACAACTTGTGGTTAGTCATGGATAACGAAAGCACAAATATAGCAAATCACGCATGAATTTTTCGTTCATGTGTAAATACCTCTTCCTTCCTACCAATTGGCCCTCAAATCTTTGAAAAGCCTGTGTCCCTTGTTGATGACTTTAAGTAAGTTGTTAGATGATCTCATTAAAATATAATATTTCACACACAAAACAATGCAATATATTTTACGTTTGGCATATTGTGTTGACACTCAATAATTATTCCACTATCATGATTTGATAGGAATCACATTGCTCTTAAATAATTTACCACGAATTATCTCAAATCTTGATGTTTTGAATGCAAATAAAATGACTTAATCCCTATGAGATGAAAACTTCTGATTTTCTAACTGTTTTGTAGGCTGGGAGAAGACTACCAGCAGATCGCAGACAAGGCACTGTCAGAGCCGGCAAACACTGCGGAACTGATGAAGCTGATAGAGTACGTGAGAGTCGTGGAGTGTCAGACGGTGTTTGAGATGGAGGACAGACTCAAAGAAGTGATGGGATACATTCTGTTCCTATCAGACTTCACTCTCATATCTGCCATAGAGATGAAACAGAACTCGCTGACCTTCCAGTGGTACAACAAGATGTCCAGTGTGTTGGAGGAGAACAGACGCATCGTGGAGCAGAAGACACTGGAGTACCAGCAGTCACTGAAGGTTAGTGGAATGTTTAATCAATTGATCGTCCATTCAATCGTTAAGACAGTGTGGCACATCAAGCTGAAAGTTTGTGTCGAATTGAGCAGCAAGTCTTGTGAAGCGTTTTTACTGACTAACATCTTTCCTTTATTTAGGACCATCTTTATTAGACAAGTTGGAATTTGTTTCACGCTTTTGCGAAGGAACGGTCCAAACCCTGCTCTTGTTACTATTTAACGTAGACTTTTTAGTATCGGTACCTAGATAGTATCATTAATTTATCACCCAATGACAAATAATGGCATCTAGGCCTGGTTGTTTTGAATCAAAAATTTTGATTTGAAGGCAATGACTTTAACAACCACTCGGCTACCCAGACAATTATCAAGGAAATGTTTATTAAAGAAGTAAAATACAATTTTTTTTAGTGATTTAGTGTTTTTTGGATTATGATAAAGATATAATTGCCACTTTTAACTTTAAATCATTCTAACCTCATTCCAGGAAAGAATTGAAAAGTTCAAAGACGATTTGGAAGCGTACATGAAGCAAGTTGATGAGCTGCAAACGTACGGAGACATCAACGAACTTCATCGCTACCAGAAGAAGGCTATGATGCTTGATAACAAACTGGACCAAGCCATGGCGAGAATTGATCAGTTTAATGAAGAGGAGAAGGCCTACAAGTGGGAAGAGAGCTTCTTCCCCATGAGGAAACAGGTAATTTAATTTTGCCGACTAAATTAATTATTGTAGCATCAAGATGTATCAATGATTGGATAGTTTCTCACAAGTTTCCATTAAAAATATACCTTGTGTAATTGTGTAACTGTTAACATTGGCCTAATCTTACAGTCATTGACCAGTACTATTTATTGGATTCCCTGCATTATTTGCACAGAGGTACACATGAATGATTGTCACAGATTGCAGACAGACTCGCGCCATACAAGCGTCTCTACGACAACGCTGTAGAGTTCCTGGAGAAGCACGAGCTGTGGACGACCAGCAGAGTAGGCTCCTATGACCCTGAGGATATTGACCAAGAGACGCAGGGCTTCTACCGCAACATCTACAAGCTGGAGAAACAGTTCTCTGACCTACCAGCTCCGGGACAACTGGCTAGCCAGGTACTTTCATGTATACAAAAACTTTTTAAAAAAATGTTTCAAGATTGCTAATTTAATTTGTCAAATTTCCTTTCTTTGTGATTGACATAGTGGTCAATGACCATGAAAGATTGATACTTTTTATGTGTATGTAAATGTATATCATACTGAGAAGACTCACCCACTATAGACTTAAATCTACTCTTCCGATCAAATGCAAAATTAAATCTATTCTGGCCTAGGGCATAATTTACTAAGAATACCTTAATAACTGTAAGATATGCAGTTACGTTTGTTCCAAAATTTGTTTGTAATATAACAGCTTAAACACTGATCTGCTATTATTGTAGGTAAGGTAGCCATAGTATTAATTTTTCATGGTTAACTTATAAGAAATGTCGATTGATAGCCCAATGAATAAATAGCCCCTTGGTTAATGTCCTATCTTGAATAAAAATCGAGTTCTGGTCCATCTCTACTACAATTTTGTTTCCAATCCTAATTTTCATATTTATTTTAGATAATTTCCTTACTCGAGATGTTTCAGTTAGTCACAGGTATTTATTCTAATATCTGATTAAACTTGTATGAGAAAATGGTTTTGGTTTCGCGTTTATTTATTTCTTGGTTATCGTACTAAATTGTTGTTACTATAACACACCAATAAAATTTCTGTTCCAATAATTTTCAGGCTATTTAACTCATCATTAGCTATTTTGCATGTTAAGATGGATCATATTACCTTGTATATTTAAAAAAGCCTTTATCGGCATTTTAATAACGCTGATGTATTTTACAATAAACTAAATTACTTATTTTGTTGTTGTAACAGGTTAGGCAGCAAGTGGAAGATTTCAAAGGTCACATGCCGATTATAATGACACTCGGAAATCCAGGTATGAAAGAGCGTCATTGGGAAAGAATATCAGAGATTGTCGGCTTTCCCCTTAGAGCAGACGCGGAGTTGACTTTGGCGAAGATTATCGATTTGGGTCTTGAAGAATACATCCCGAGGTTTGAGGCCATCAGTGATTCTGCGACAAAGGAGAACAATCTTGAGAAGAATCTCAACAAGATGATAAATGAATGGAAAGACATTGAGTTCACAGTGTTGCCTTACAGGTGAGTGGAATTAAAATGAAGGTTTGTCATTGCTACTGTTGATTTACCTTAAACAAAAACCTAGACTTGAGTAAATTTAGAAATGATCATGTTCAAAAAAGTTATTAATGAAAAGTTTTTTGAGTTACTATTATTGCTTTAGCTTTCATCAGATCTCATGCATTTAACAGATGTTTGTGTTTACAGAGACACCGGGACCTACATCCTGTCCAGTGTGGATGACATCCAACTGCTGCTTGACGACCACATTGTCAAAACACAAACAATGAAGAGTTCGCTGTACATCAAGCCGTTTGAAGAAACCATTTTGTGAGTCATGTGTAAGACGTGTGTTGGAGATCAAAAATGAAACATTATATCTGTATTTTACATCCTTTAGTGATTTTGGACTTTGGAATATAAGTTGAAATAAATTTTCATTAGGATAAAACTTAAATTTTATTAACTTGAATATTAAACCTATTATGATTGGATTACAGTGGCTGGGAGGCCAAGCTGTCGCTACTGCAAGAGATACTGGACGAGTGGCTGAAGGTGCAGAGTACATGGATGTACCTGGAGCCCATCTTCTCATCACCTGACATACAACAGCAGATGCCTGAGGAGGGACGAAGGTTCAGTGCTGTAGATAAGGTGTGTGATTGTTATCGTCTGCAAGATGGTATTACTAGTCCATCACTACTGTAGAGAGCAGGGTGTAACTCATCAAGGTCCTGGGTTCAAATCCCACCAAATAAATAGATGGCTTTGTCTATCTGACGACATCTCAACCCTAGTCGTATGTGACGTGAAAAACGGTCCCGAGAGAGTCATATACTAAAGTTGTGGGTAAAATATACATTTTTCTGAGTAGAGCCCCAGCCAGTTCTGGATGTCCAGATAGAACTTTTAAAATATGAATCATCTTCAGTTGGTTTTTATTTGTGTTAAGTTCATTGGTTTATTCAAATATTTTACAAATTTGAGGTTCCCTTTAACATTGCATATTTGCCTGTCATAGATAGGCCTCAAAGATATTTGATGACATTGTGGGGTTACAATACTGCCAGAACGTCTTTATGGAACACCCCTTATAGAATAATTTTTGACATTTAGAGTAGTATGTGATAAGATATTAGTTCTAAAATGTATCCATAGTTTAGTTATGGAAAGCAAATGGACATCTAATACCTATGTGGATTGGTTGACAGGTTTGGAGAGATGTGATGAAGACAGTAGTGTCGGACACCAAAGTCATGTCCGTCGTGGAGATTGACAAGATGTTGGAACGTCTGAAGAAGTGCAACAACCTGCTTGAGATGATACAGCGAGGCCTCAATGAGTATCTGGAGAAGAAGAGGCTCTACTTCCCAAGGTTCTTCTTCCTCTCTAATGACGAGCTGTTGGAAATCCTCTCAGAGACCAAGGATCCCACTCGGTGAGTCAAAGCAGGTCAATTTTTTCACAGTTACTAGTATTGTGGAGGAATTGTTAACTATCAAGTTGTACTGTGTGAGGCTGGAAGTGAAATTTAATGTGACAGTGAAGGTGATAAACAAAAGACAATATAGCTCAGAAGTGTTCTCAATCAGTTGGATTCAAAATCAAAACAAAATACTCTTGAGTGAACTTTGTGTTATGTGTTGTTACAGTGTGCAGCCTCATCTGAAGAAGTGTTTCGAAGGTATCGCCAAGCTGCAGTTCACCGAGGACCTAGATGTAACCAAGATGAAGTCCACTGAAGGTGAAGAGGTTGCTCTAGTGGATGTCATCTCCACCTCCCAGGCCAGGGGACAGGTGGAGAAATGGCTGCTGCTGCTGGAGAAGGATATGAAGATCAGCATACACAAGGTAAGAGACAACCTTTGGTTCAATTAAACTGCTTGGCTTGATCCATGCACTGTGGGTGATGTGTATAATCATTAAAATGTTAATCAGCTCAAAATGTTAAAAATGTAGAGTTTAAGACATGTTTCAACACGACAATAGTATCATCATAAACAAGGTAAATCATGGTAAGGCAACTGAAAAAGGGATGCAGCCTGACTTCACTTTTATTGTTTACTTGATTAAGTAATGTACTCTTTGTTTGTACTCATATTTAAAACTGAATATGAGGATTAAAATAGCTATTTAAAAAAGTTAAATTGTCTGGACAAATATACAACATTTTTAAACTTAATATAGTAAATACATGTATGTAAAAGATCTAAATAGTAGTCCTAGTCCAACATGTAACCCTATTGTTTAACCTGGGGATTACATTTTGATTTGTCATAGCTCATACTACACTATTAGTTAACTACTTTGGGAGTGAGGTGATCTAATGTTAGAGTGTGGGATTTAGGTCTTTAAGGTCCTGGGATCAAACTATACAATTACCAATTGATTTTATCTAAGTGATGATGTCGCAACCCTCTACGGTTAGCCTGAAATGATGTGAAAAAAGGTCTGGGCTAAAGTCTAGCACCCTAAGATAAGTTGGGATATACATAGGCTACACTACTAACTTAATTTAAAACAAAGTTTGTTTATTCATAGGCACTGCTGAAAATTCCCCTCTAACTTTCTTGTAATTTGTGTTTCCTCTTTTGGCAAACGCAAAATGTTAGTGTTTTGCATTATTTTTACTCATTTTTCAATAAATTCTCTTACCGATCAAGCCATTTACTTGCTCCTTTTCAACATTTCAACCCCTTATTTCACTATATCATCTTTAAAAGCGCCACTCTATCGCACTTTATCTTAGCCATCAAAGCCTAAACAAGCACGTTATATAAAAAAAAAATGTTTCCGTCATTTCTTACTGTTTTAATTTTTTTCATCACTTAACTGTATAGTTTACACTAACTTTGTGTTGTGGCCAGATGATCGAGCTGGCCATGGAGGCGTACCCAGACACGCCCAGACAACAGTGGGTGTTGACGTGGCCTGGCCAGACTGTGCTGGCCGTATCATCTACATACTGGACCAGTGAGGTACATTTGGCCATAGCCAGGCCAGGCGGTCTGCCTGAGTATCTGGCCAAGTCTAACTCTCAGATAGACAACATCATAGAACTGGTCAGGGGCAAACTGGAGACACAGAATAGGATCACACTGGGTGAGTTTTGGTTTACAGTTAGCCATTTTCAACTATATATATTTTTTTTAGGTATTTACTCCACCACTGATCACTCTTGACTTATGTTATTTTAATTTATTGGTTTAAAAGTGTGTTGGTCACAAGAACACTTTGACTTAAATAAGTAACTTTAAATATTTGGCTGCCTTCGATCAACCATTTTTGAAAGTTATAGTTAAGGTTTTTATAAGATTATGGTAGCAACAATAATTTTAATGCTCTTTGATAAAAAAAAAATTAAAACACTCCCAGTTATCTTAGCTGTTTTTGAAAACCTCAGCTTCTTGACCTCAATTTTCCCTTCACAATAGTAATATTTTTCAATTTTTTTTTTACCTTTTGCATTGTTAACGCTCATTGCAAGGGAACAGTCCTAACCCTGGATGTTTGCCAAAACACACAACAATAATTTAAGTGACAACAAATAACCAAGACATACCGTTATACGAATGCTCTCTCTGAATGCTGATTCTTGTGTTTTCAATCTGAAATACCTACTAAGTGTTCATTGATCTTTATCACAAATTGGATTATTCATTACATTATTCATAATCACTGTAAACCTACTTTACAATGTCATGATGTTCTACAGAGGCTCTGGTAGTCATTGATGTCCATGCGAGGGATGTTGTGAGTTCACTTGTCAAGGCAAAGATTTCCAAAGACGATGATTTCCAGTGGCTCTCCCAGCTTCGCTACTATTGGCAGGTGATGTAAACATTATAAAGTTAAATTTTCTTGTTACTAATTATGATAATCATATGTCAATAGTTAATTGTTTCGTAAACAAGTTTATTCTTTGAACATTTCATGAGACAAATGGTTACTATGCCAATTTTGTCTGGTTAGTTGTTGAACTGTGTATGATCTTTAGTTAGGTTAACTCAAGTTTTATTTGTCTCAATCATAAAATTTAGGTGACTTGAGTCTGAAATAGGTTTTGTGAGGTCAAGAACAACTTATTAGAGGAATGGAATATTTGTGCGTCATCTTTGTGGTCAGAGAGAGAGTTTATTAAAAATTCAGGGAAAAATTTCTCTTATTAGACTTATTGTGGCATACGAACATGTACCAAAATTGTTAAACTTCCCTTTTGTGTAACACTACTTATTCAATGCAGTATTGTATATTGCAGGAGAATGCATTGGTAGTAAGTATGATAAACTCTACTCTCAAGTATGGCTATGAGTATCTGGGTAACTCGTCCAGGCTGGTGATAACTCCGCTGACAGATCGCTGCTATAGGACTTTGTTTGGAGCTCTTCACTTGCATCTTGGTAACTAGGAGGGTTTTTGTAGCATTGGGAAGTATGTTGGTAGTAGAAATTTGGTATGATTATGTTGTAGTGTTGGTGTCTTAATATCCTGTAAAATTAGTCTATGTATGAAAGAGTTATGTTTTTAAAGAACTAAATACTTTAAAGAGTCTTCATCACCCCTGCAAAAACACTAAAAACATGCCTCGGAAGTCACTTGCTCCTTAAGGAATTTGTACAGATCTAATGTTAAAACTGTTTTCCCCTACAGATTAATGTTGGTTCTAGTGCCATCATATGTGATGCATCCAATAAAATCAATTGAGTTACTTCTAAACATTGATAAAACTTTTGTTTTTATTTTAATTTTTTTGAGGTATAAAAGCTATAATATAACTACTCAACTACATTCTTACCAAGTTTCAAGAAAATCTATTAAAAAAACTACACCCAAAAGAGTGACAAAATTAACATGTTTTGTCCCAAAAGCCAGGAGGCTACTGCGCTACTAGCCTTATCCAAAACTTGGCTCAAGCAGTAGATGGGTCACCGACCTGTCACTGTCCACAACACACTACATGTGCATTTACAATGTTTTCAAAATGGTGCGCGAAATGCCGCATAATGGCATTACATGCACATCTACACCACCAATCCTATACCCCCAAAAACGCAACCGAGGGTGATGAAGACTCCTCTTAACTTAAAGCCTTTTATTGTGAACTAAATAGGTTGGAATTTACCAACAGCCCCTATAGTCTGCACTTTAGATTTTAAAAATGTGTCACCAAAAGGGTTATTGGGCTGGTTAGATAATTTACTGAATTTAGAGGATAAATTTATTCTTCTAATATGATAATAGGTGTAATGAGAGTAAGAATGAATGAAAAGAACTGTTATTACCTTTAGAAAGGTTTTTAATAACTTGAACAATACTACATTGAATTATAATGGACTTGTTTACAAACACAACAAAACAATAATAAAGAATTGAACACATGTTATTTTTACTACATTCTTCCTCCCTAATGTTAATGAACGTAGTCATTTAAATAATTAGGAGGTCTTCTGCTTCTGAAACTTCTTCTCGGATACCGGTATGTGTTATGGTTCTCTCCTCTAGAAGCTTCTTGTATAGGTTGTAAGTTCTCGGCAGTAGTATTCATTTCATCTTCTTGGTTCTGTGTTGATGATGGACTGGGAAAGTATTCAGGTTCAGGTTGAGAAGTGGGTAATAGAATATTTTCATCACTCTCAAAATCGGTTTGCTCTATGTCGGTTTGGTACTCACCAACCGGAGCAAGATGACGTGTAGACACGGTAGTTTCTCTTCCATCAGGCAATTTAACATGAGCATACTCGGCATTCCCGTGAAGAAGTTGGACCTCTTCAACAAGTGGCTCATACTTGGACGTACGATTGAATCTCTTCAAGTAGACAGGGCCGGAATTGAGAAGCCATGAAGGAGCTGAAACACCATTGTTCCCAGATCTACGTGGATGTAAGAACATACGCTCGTGAGGAGTTTGATTTGTGGCTGTGCAAAGTAATGATCTCACTGAGCTGAGGGCATCCTCTAAAACTGTCTCCCATTGGTTTATTTCTAAGTTAAGTGATTTCAACGCCAGTTCAATTGTTTTCCATAGAATGCCGTTATACCTTTCAACTTGCCCATTACCTGCTGGATTGTACGCAGTGGTTCTACTAGTTGAGATTCCAAGTGAGTTCAAGTAGCTTTTTAAGTCTTGGCTCAGAAATGATGTTCCTCTGTCCGAATGTATGTAACTAGGAACCCCAAAAGTAGAAAATAATGTTTTTAGTTTCGACTTAACTGTTGACGATGACATGTCTGAACAAGGGAAAGCGAAAGGGAACCGTGAAAACTCGTCTACTATTACTAATAAGTAACAGTTTCGACTTGATGAAGGCAGCGGGCCTTTGAAATCGATATTCAGTCGTTCAAATGCAGAAGTGGCTTTAATCAAAATCCCTTTGTGTTTGAAGAATCTAGGCTTCACAGCAGCACATACATTGCAGGAGTTTGTTATTCGTCTGATTTCATCAATCGAGTAGGGCAAGTTTTTACTTCGAACCCAGTGGTACAAACGTGTCACACCTGGATGACATAGATTCGCATGTAAATCAATCAACAGTTTTTCTTGATTTTGGATTGAAGAACATACTCTAGTCAGGGCATCTGCAGCCATATTATCTTTACCGGGTCTATTTACAATATCATAATGAAAGCACGACAATTCCAGTTTCCACCTCATTATCTTTTCATTTTTCACTTTGCCATGACGGTTGTTATTGAACATAAAAGAAACCGACCTCTGGTCAGTAATCAGCTTGAAATGTTTACCAACCAAATAGTGACGCCATTTCCGCAGTGCTTCCACAATAGCTTGTGCTTCTTTTTCGACACTTGAATGTCTTTGTTCTGCTGGAGAAAGTATCCTTGAGAAGAATGTGACTGGACGGTTCGATTGAGTCAAAGTAGCAGCAATGGTACTCTCAGATGCATCAGTTTCTACGATGAACTGTGCTTCAGGGTCAATGCAGCTTACTACACATCCGATGATTTCACTTTTTATAGTTTCGAAAGACTGGAGCCCTGCTTTGGACAAAGGGAATGTAGTACGCGCAAGTGGAATCACTTTGGTAGCATAATCTGGTATAAGTGATGCATAATGTGAAAACATACCAAGGGTCCTCCTCAGTGATGCGGTGTCTCTGGGTAGAGGTAAATTTTTCAAAGGATCTAGTCGACTGGGGTCAGGCTTGATAGTTTTGTTTGATATATGATAGCCCAACAAGTTGATCGATCGCAGTGAAAATGAAGACTTCTCATTATTAATAGTTAGGTTGTATTTGGATGCAGCTTCGATAAACTTTTTTAAGTTTATATCGTGTTGTTCTTGTGTTTTTCCACAGATTGTGACATCATCAAGATAGGCGTAAGTGTCTTGTAACTGTTCTGTTCGGATGACTTGGTCAATTACACGTTGGAATGCTGCCACCCCATTAGTGACCCCAAACGGGATACGCTTAAACTGGTAGAGTTGACCACAGGCCTCAAAAGCTGTGTAGTGCTTTTCTTCATTTCTTATCTTTACTTGGTGGTATGCACTTTTCAAGTCGATAGTACTGAAAAACTCATAATTTGCAACTTTGTTAACGATATCATCGATTCTAGGTAGTGGGTAAGCGTCCAGTAATGTAAAACGATTTATAGTCCTGGAGTAGTCAATGACCATTCTTTTTCTATGATTTTCAGATGTAACGACTAATGCTTGAGCCCTCCATGGAGACATACTAGGCTCTATAACATCGTCTTTAAGCAATTTACTTACTTCGTTTTCAATAAACTTTAAATCATCGGTGCTATGGCGATGATACTTGATTGCGATTGGCTTACATTCCGGTTTTAAATTAGAAAACAAAGATACCGGTTCTACAGTTGAGGCTGCCACGCTACATACGGTTAGTTGTGACTTGTTGCCACCAAAGACTACTTTAATACTTGCATGGTTTTTCAAAATATCATGTCCAACAATTATATCTGCACAAAGATCTGGTAACAATGAAAGATTAACTTGCTTGTAAAAGTGATCAAGAATGACAAGATTTACTTTGCATTGACCTGTTATGTCGGATGTGATTGATGTAGTAGCCATTGAGACAGTACCCCTACCTGGTTTTATAGGAATACCTAAATTAAGAGCAGTAGATTTGTTTATAAAACTTAGAGAGCTTCCCGTATCTATCAAAGCAGAGACAGATTTACCATTAACTAGGGCTTGTACTGTACTCTTTGTTAACCCACCGGGTGAAGCTGCTAGGTCAATAGAGTTCATTACTTCTTTAGATTTATCCAATTGCTTGGTTTGTAGTTTACCTGCCCTGCAGACCTTAGCAAAATGCCCCTGTTTACCACAGTTATGACAAATTGTATTTTTAGCTGGACATTTGACCCTAGGATGTCTTAGATTACCGCAAAAGAAACATTTTTCAGTCACAGCAGCTAGAGAACACTTTTCTAAACTGCTTGAAGTTGCATCAACATTCTGATTGCTCGCTTGAGTTTCTTGGGACGAAGTTGCATTTACTATAGATTGGAAAGATTGAAAAGCTAATGATTGCTCATGTGCAAGTTCTAGGGATCTGGCTTGACTATATGCCTGATCTAGTGTCAATGAAACATTTTCTAGTAAGCGCTGGCGAATTGCAGAAGATTTTATTCCAGCAATAAATGTGTCACGGATATAATCATCCCTATTCTTTTCAGCTGTGACAGCTTTAAACTGACAGTCTTTACTTAGTAATTTTAAAGCCTGGAGATATTGGTCAATAGTCTCCTCAGGTTGCTGCTGACGTGCAGATAGTTTATGTCTGGAATATACTTCATTTACAGGTTTTACATAGATACTTCTTAGCACAGATATAGCATCGTTATACGTACCGCTTTCACTTATGTACTCGTTGATTTCCGGAGTAATAAAGTTTATAAGTATTTTGAGTTTATCGGAGTCGGATGGTTGTGGTGTGATGCTGGTAACAAAATTCTGAAATGTTTTGTGCCAATGTGTCCATCCTTTACTTGCAGATGATGAGTTAGGATCTACACTAAACTTGTCTGGCTTTAGGATCGTATCCATTTCACAATATCAAGTTATTAAAATTGTAATGAGAGTAAGAATGAATGAAAAGAACTGTTATTACCTTTAGAAAGGTTTTTAATAACTTGAACAATACTACATTGAATTATAATGGACTTGTTTACAAACACAACAAAACAATAATAAAGAATTGAACACATGTTATTTTTACTACAATAGGTGTATGTTGTATTTAAGGTGGAGCTCCAGAAGGACCTGCTGGTACTGGTAAAACAGAGACTACCAAGGATCTGGCCAAAGCAATCGCTAAACAGTGTGTGGTGTTTAACTGTTCTGACAGCATGGATTATATTGGGCTCGGCAAGTTCTTCAAGGTAACTAACTAGTCTTGATAAGAAGGCTCAACAATTGCTTAGAAGGTCTATTATAATAGTTTATGCGTGAAGTATGTAGCTCATTTGCAGTTTTTAGCATTGATTATCACGTAGTGTTCTTTCTTATGCTCCTTTTTAAGTTAAACATTATTTTAACACATTACAACATGTATTTTTATTGTGTGTGTGGCCCACTTTTGCTACATTTTGGTGATTTGGTCAAGTGAATGATTACCATGACCAAACCGTTTGTTTTGGAAACGAAAACTGGACTCATTTATTCAACCTGAGGAGACAATTTACCGCAAATCACAGGCCTAAATAGCCAGCTTTGATGATTATTAATATTAATTGTAACACATTAAATACAGAAATATCATTATCCATTCAATATATGCAAGAATTAATGATCAGACGACCGGACACAACGTAAATTGACGGTTGAGCAAAATATTAATATTAGAATAATGACACGGGAAATTATATGAACATTTTCAACTACATGATCTGAGAACAATTATGGGAATTTAGAATAATTACATAACTAGCACCATACCTCACGTGGGGGGGCCTTACCCCCTGTCCCTAGCATCCTAGCACATACACATGTTCGGTGTTCGATGCCAGCGCATGTGCACATGTGCACACGTGACCTGAAGAGTGCCTTCTTGGTGGGACATTTGAATTGTTGAGGAGGTTAAGCTCCACATGTGCAAACTGCAAATATGTTTTATTTTATGAAAATCAATCTTAATCTGTTGAATTGTTACTGTTATGAGCTCTGTTTGAACAGGGTAATAATAAGAAGTTGGATATGGAAAAACCCTATAATAAGTGTGTTATAAGGTTGTATGTAGATATTTTATTTTTTTTTATATTGAAGAGTTATTTACGGAAAAAATCTTATTCTTTTGTAATGCATTTTTTTGATGAAAATAAATCACTGGTTTCATTCATTCATTCAAGAAGTTGGACATGGTTATGACAGAATGGTAACCAAAACCAATTCCAAACAATTCTCAAAAAGACAGACTGTTAGACATAAAGTGGTTGACTTGACTAAGATGTTGAGCTTAGAGACCTTGTAAACCAAGTGCTGAGCTAACTGTATACATTCAAATGATGATATAAATAAAAAAAATATTCAAGATTATTCAGTGTGGCAGATTGCGTGTAGTAAATATATAAAGGCTACTTACAGTCTTCGCAATCCTGATTAATTGAGCACTACGGCCGTTTCGGAGATAACTCCATCGTCGGGTGCGTAGTCATCATACACTAAACTGAACTAGGCCTATTTACATATTTACATTTTTTACGAGGTTTCTTCATTTTCATTGCATCAAAGTTTAATAAATAGTACATGCAACACAAGACACGGACACGACACGAAAACATTGAGGCACGTGCACGGCTAAAAACTGACGACCGACTGATCGAACTTTATCACTGCAAAGGTTGGGTGGACGACTGGAATAACTGATAACACTTGTACCAACATAGCTGCTCAAATTATACCTTGTCCTGTTTGATCTGTATTATTGTTTCAAAAATTGGATTGGCTGCTGAATTAGTCTGGGAATTAATTATTAAGTTCGGTTCTTTAGCTGTACTGGTGTAAATGTGGAAATTTTCAATACAATTAAGTTTGTGACCTTTGCTACCAATGTGGAGTATTTCTAAACTATTAATTTCAGAGTAGTCGTGGCAATACTGTTGGATGTGTTCTGCATAATTTGAGACAGGATTTGGTTTCTTAATAGCGCTTATATGTTCTTTATACCTGGTCTTAAAACATCTACCAGTCTGTCCGATGTAGTAGGAGTCACATTCTCCACATTTAAGCTTATACACACCTGACTTCTCTAGTATAGGCGTAGTATTCCTTAGTCGTGGAGCTGACAACTTACGTTGAAGGTTGTTGCTAGTTCTGTATGCAACTGAATAGTTATGCCTACTAAAAGGACGAGTTGCTAGACGTTGGTTGAGTTTACAGAATTCTAGTGTCACGTACTTTTTATCAGTTTTTTCTTTGGCAATTTTATTATTAGCTTTACTCTTAATTCTCCTATGCAGTTTATCAATCATGTCAGAGCTGTAACCGTTATTCAAGGCAATGTGTTTTATTGTGTTCAGTTCATTTCTATAATTTTCTTCACTTTTGCCTTGAATAACGGTTACAGCTCTGACATGATTGATAAACTCGTCCTTTTAGTAGGCATAACTATTCAGTTGCATACAGAACTAGCAACAACCTTCAACGTAAGTTGTCAGCTCCACGACTAAGGAATACTACGCCTATACTAGAGAAGTCAGGTGTGTATAAGCTTAAATGTGGAGAATGTGACTCCTACTACATCGGACAGACTGGTAGATGTTTTAAGACCAGGTATAAAGAACATATAAGCGCTATTAAGAAACCAAATCCTGTCTCAAATTATGCAGAACACATCCAACAGTATTGCCACGACTACTCTGAAATTAATAGTTTAGAAATACTCCACATTGGTAGCAAAGGTCACAAACTTAATTGTATTGAAAATTTCCACATTTACACCAGTACAGCTAAAGAACCGAACTTAATAATTAATTCCCAGACTAATTCAGCAGCCAATCCAATTTTTGAAACAAAAATACAGATCAAACAGGACAAGGTATAATTTGAGCAGCTATGTTGGTACAAGTGTCATCAGTTATTCCAGTCGTCCACCCAACCTTTGCAGTGATAAAGTTCGATCAGTCGGTCGTCAGTTTTTAGCCGTGCACGTGCCTCAATGTTTTCGTGTCGTGTCCGTGTCTTGTGTTGCATGTACTATTTATTAAACTTTGACGCAATGAAAATGAAGAAACCTCGTAAAAAATGTAAATATGTAAATAGGCCTAGTTCAGTTTAGTGTATGATGACTACGCACCCGACGATGGAGTTATCTCCGAAACGGCCGTAGTGCTCAATTAATCAGGATTGCGAAGACTGTAAGTAGCCTTTATATAAAAAAAATATTTTACAGAAATATTCTTTTCCCCTAAGAAATCAATGGTTCCATAACATAAGATGTGTTAATAAAAAAACAACCAGAACTAAGCATTTAATACCTGATAGAAGCACCTTTAGATAGAAAAGGGCATTGAAACTTGAAACTTTTGTGTTCTTTCTATTTTATTTTATAAATTTAATCGCCACAGTGTACATTATACTAGAAGAAACAATATTGTTTCTAATTATTTGGAACTAACTAAGTGTTCCAAATTGTTAAACCCGTATTGTTTTAATGATAAATAATTTTTACCAATGCCTTTCAAATACAATCTTCCACTCTTTTTGTAGGGTCTTGCGTCTTGTGGTGCCTGGGCCTGTTTTGACGAGTTCAACAGAATAGACTTAGAGGTATTGTCAGTTGTGGCTCAACAGATTCTGACAATCCAACGAGGAATCAACGCTGGCAACCCCAAGTTGTGGTTTGAAGGTACGGAGTTGAACCTTGACCCGACCTGTGCCGTGTTTATCACAATGAACCCTGGGTATGCCGGGCGCTCTGAACTGCCTGACAACCTTAAGGTGAGCCTATTATGCATTTCTTAAGCAAAGCAAACTTAATTTCATCACTTTCACAAAATTGATGATATTTTGGGAAAAAATCTTGATAGTCTTGTATATTTTTGACTGACAAAATCAAAATTCATAAACCAACAACATAAAGAGTGTGCATTGAACACTAAAAATATTTCGATTTGGCATAAGAGGTTGTGCATTGTAATTTACTTTACTGGGAAAAATATGCCTCTTTCATAAAACTGTAATTTAATTTTTGAATTTTTTATAACTGAATGAATAGTGAAGAAAATCAATATACAACAAAACCTAAAACTTATCAAAATTTAACTTAGTACCGGTAATGGAAGCTAACAAAATTGTTAAGTTAGTATCAATGTCAGCCAATAGGATAAAAACCAAAATCAAAAATTTTTCAATGTAAATTTTATATTCAATAACAATAAATGGGTTGAAAAATTATCCTAGAAGTCTAGGGCGATTATTGCAATACAGTACTGCTTCAATGTTGCGGGTTGAGATTTAGGGGCTTTATGAATATCAAACACTTAGGCAGCAGTGATGCAGTACAGAAGTTTCATGTTGAAAGTTGAACGAGTAATGTTCAACATATAATTTTAAATAGCTTTCACTCACTATTTGAAGAAAAAAAGTTATTACATGACTTTTTTAGTAGTTGAACTGTGACTAATGAGGTTGAACTGATTCGTCATTTCAGGCGCTGTTCAGATCAGTAGCCATGATGGTACCAGACTACGCCCTTATCTCAGAGATACAGCTCTACTCCAATGGTTACCTCAATGCTCGACCTTTAGCCGTCAAGATTGTCGCCACATACAAACTGTGTTCTGAGCAACTGTCTTCACAGCAGCATTATGACTATGGTAAGTCCCTCTATTTCAATTGAAGAATATTTGTTTAAAGTACCTACTGTAGGCGAATGCTTTCTTGTTTATTTTGTGTAGTTTGAAATGTTTTAAATATGGAAGTATTATTAGGTTCAGCACAGTTGACTAGGTTCCTGTTTTTGAAGAGATAATGTGCTTTTTACAAACTTAACGTGCATTTAAATAGGATGAATAATTTCATAACTTTTAAGGAAAACTAATTACAGAACAAAGGATGTTCTGGACAATATTTATAAAAATATATGGTTTTTCCTTCCATGATTCAATGTCTCTATCAGCTTATCAGATTGACACTAGTGTCAAAAACTACCACTATAGCAGTTGTCTTCAACCCTTCTTTTTGCCTGCTATACAAGTATAGGGCCTAGATAGCTCTTGCTATACAATGGATAAGGTTTGGCTAACCCTAGTGTAAAGTATTATCAAAACGGCTATTGCTGGCAACATGTTAGATATGCTATCTTCGAAATGATGCTTCTTAACTCTTGTTATTTTAGTGTTACAAAATAAAAAGTGTAATCAAAAGTCAAAAGTTTAATGTAACTTAAGGATTATGGATTTTTTTATCTTAAAAATAAGAAAACACCTATTCTGAGACCACATTATGTTGGCTAAACCAGGTAAACCAAACTGCTGATGTTAATCTGAACTCTCAATACCATCATTTTTATTACTTAACTCACTTTACAAATTAAATTTACAGGTATGAGAGCTGTAAAGTCTGTGCTCACTGCTGCAGCTAATCTCAAGTTGAAGTATCCTAACGAGTCAGAAGACATCATTGTTCTTAGATCCATCAAAGATGTCAACCTGCCCAAGTTTCTCAATCATGACCTACCCCTGTTTCATGTGAGTAGCTCAGTCCACAGTAGTGCACAAGTAGTAGTAGCTATCTTCAAGGATGAAGCTCCACTGTATGAAGTGAACTTTGTTAGACCAATTTTGCACCAATGTCAGTAAATGCTACTCCTAAAAATTCAAGTTAAGACTTGTCTTCTAATTCCATCCATTTGTTGCTTTTTGTAGGGGATAACGTCAGATCTGTTCCCGGGAGTGACATTGCCAGACCCAGACTACACAGTGTTGAACAAAGCAGCTCAGGACGCGTGTGAGGCTGCCAACATGCAGTGTACGGACTTCTTCTTGGAGAAGATCCAGCAGATTTACGAGATGATGATTGTCAGACACGGCTTCATGATTGTTGGAATGCCCTTCGGTGGCAAGACGTCGTCCTATAGGATGCTGGCTGATGCTTTGGCACTCATCGAAGAAAGGGTACCGTATTTGTCTGTACTCTAAGTCTTTATACCAGTGAAACTTATCTGATTAACTTATATACTAACTGTTGTATGTTAGTTGTTAAAACTCGAACTCGCCAACGTATTACATTTTATAGTGATTGCTGATCAACAAGGTTAACATAGCAAAACTATCGTGGTGTTAGTGTGGTATCCAACCATTTTCAGTTATTATAAATGTGCAGACATTATACAATTTTTGTTATTAAAAGTTATGTTGTAAATTTTTGACATCAGTTGTGTAATGAGTGAAAGCTAAAACTCGTTTGGAAAATGAATTGAAAATGGTAATAAAGATAAGATATGTTTTCTGTTTGTCATATTGAGAAATGGTGACGCAAGAAAGTGTATCTAATTATTTAACCCAGGAAATGGAAATAGTTACTTTAGAATTAGTTAGATACCTTATGTAGCCTTTAACTGACTAAAACGGATAAAAAGGCTAGTAACAGATCATTGTGGGATGAGAGGTAGAAGTAGATCAAAGACCTTTTTTAGACTCCTAGTCCTTACTAAGAATAATGATCAACCACAACAAGAACAAAGACTACAGCATCTATTTCAAAAGTTAATGTTTGATGTGTTTATTTATGTATTTTCATCTAATTTTGTCAGTAAGTTAAGAAACCCATCCACCATAAAATCCTTAAGTTCAAAGTAATTTTGCTTACCATGTTTTCTAAATGATTCTAAGTGAAGTTTCAAATCAATCATCACTTTATATAGCCTAATATTAACACTGTTGTCATTAGACCAATTACCTTAACAATCTAGTAGTTGGGACATTGTAACATATTTGTCCACTAGGGTGGTATGAATGAGCACAAGGTAGAGATTGCAGTCATGAACCCCAAGTCCATTACGATGGGTCAGCTCTACGGACAGTTTGACCCGGTCTCCCACGAGTGGTCTGATGGGATACTGGCTGTCAGCTATCGTCAGTTTGCAATGTCAACCAACCTGAACAGGTATATCTGATTGTATCATTGAGTTGACTTTTTTATTTTAATACTTGTATCAAAACCAGCATTTTTATTGATTGGAGATGTATTTCTGATCACATTTTGTAAACTACCCAATTTACTCGACAGAAATATTTAATGAAATTGATGAATTTCAACTTTTGATTGGTTGATTTGAGAGTGGCATCACTCACTACTGTCAATCCCCACCAATTATTTTTTCCTTGTGAAGTATTCTACTACATAGAATGTTTAATCAGAAACATGCCCTTTTGACAATTCTCCCATAAATTAACCTCCAAATAAAAAAAATTAAAGTGGCGCAAAAATGTGAGTTTTTCTGTATACTATAGCTTTTTTTTGGCCATTCGACACCAACCAGTTATAAAAAAGTTCTGCAATGGATCATGGCTTGGATATATACTTCTTAAAGATTACAAGATTACAGCTGTATAAATAACACTTATATTTTTATTTTTTGGTTTCCCCAGGAAATGGCTGATATTCGATGGTCCAGTGGATGCAATCTGGATAGAGAACATGAACACTGTTCTGGATGACAACAAGAAGCTGTGTTTGATGTCGGGAGAGATCATACAGCTGGCTCCAACAACCAACTTGATATTTGAACCCATGGATCTAGAGGCCGCCTCTCCTGCTACGGTGAGTGTCTGACCAATGGTAGTGTCAAATAGCTCTGTAGGCTGTTTGTTGTGGGGATGTGTCTCATTAACAACCTAAATTTAAATCTAATAGCCATTCTATACGAGATATGATATGCAAACAGTAACTTAACAGATATAAATCCTAAACTGATGGCATATCACCAAAACAACATCCTTGCATTTTGTTGTAATGATTACAGTTATGTTCCAAGTTCTGACACAAGAAGATACCCTTCACAATACTACAAGGGTTGTGTTGAAGGTAAATTAATATATCAATTGAGCTTATATTGGCCAAGTATGTTAGTTAAAGTCTGAGACCAGGGCAGGGATGTGTTCTTTACTGTTTTAGCTGGATTCCAACCCTAAGTGATGATTAATCTTGTCATGGTAGCCAAAAACGAACTCAAGGAAACACTCCTACCATGTAAGTGTTTGTGTTCTGTGTCTATATTTCTGTGGTCTAGGGCATAAAGTGTTTCCAGTTGATGTTTACAAAAAAAGTGAAGTGTTTGGACATAAATATTGTGCAACAATATAGAGCTTCCATAGGTATTCAAACTCCATAGGTGACCATAACTACGGAAATTTTGCATGCGGATCATGGCGTGACTGAATGGGCGATTGCTGAAATCAAAGGGAGCATTTCTTTAAGGCTACCAAGAACAACAGTAAATTCTGGTAGGCTTAAACATGCTGATCATTATTAGCAAAGTTACCTAAACTTTAATAACTATCTCAATAGAAACAGATGAACACCTGCTGCCAGCCTGGTTGCACAGTTGTATACAGTGCTATGCAAACTTACATAACCTTTTAAAAAAAATGGTTTAGTCTCTAAACACATTTCTGCGTACAGCAATGAATTTTAATAGGGTTTGACCTCCTTCCCAAAGGAACCTAAGTTAAGAACAAAGGGGGTGCCGATTTTTCCTCACTTTGTTAATACTGCTTTGATGTATTATCTGATGGTTTATCACTAAAATTATTTTCATTTTCTAAATCTAGGGATTATTTATGCAAAAGTAAAAGACCTGGTAAATGCATTTCACAATTCACATACCAGTCAGACCATATGCATTTAGTATACACATTTATTGATGACATGTACATGTAACCTACTTAATCAATTGAAACATTGTACCCGGTGGACTCAGTATTTAAAACTTGGAGGCACTGAGGCTTGAGCTATACAGAGAGGAACGCACTTGGCCCCAGATTGTCTCAGGGTCACTTGGTAGATCGTTCAGGGGACACTTAAATCATTGCGTAGACATGACAATGGGTAAGAATAGAAGGGAATGAAGCACAGAACACAGTGTTGGTCCCAGATTTAAACTAGCTTGTTTGGCCTCAGTTGGATCTCGAAGCAGATCTTGAAAATCAGCCATTGTGTCCATTAGGATAAACCGAGTTATTCATAACAGATGTTGCCAACTGCTAACTATGTGTGTGTAGGTGTCCAGATGTGGTATGATTTACATGGAGCCAGCTACTCTAGGCTGGGAGTGTCTCTTACAGTCTTGGCTCAACACACTTCCACCATGTCTCCACGCTCAGAACAAACAAGTCATTGTGCATCTCTTCCATAGGTTCTGCCCTGTCTTGTTCTACCTTCTGCGGCGCACCAAAGTTGTGGTATGTATTTTTTGCTATTTCATTACCAATCAGTATTGGGTATAATTTTTATTTTCCTAACATTTTTAATAAAATCTCATGCTTTTGCTTTCCTCTAAATTTTAAGTTCTTGGGACCTCAAGTACTTGCTTTTAGAATTTAATCAGCCAACTATGTATTTTCCATTCTAAGCTCTTGAGTTTTATCATTGAAGTAAGACTCCTTTAAAAAACAGCTTGTGACTCGGAAGCTGGCACTTGGGCCTAGCACGGGCACTATAGGCAGGGTGTGGGTGGATGTAAGGAAAAGACTGGACTGCAAACCTTTGCTTCTGTTTCACGGGGTTTACTCCCTGTGATTCACGTACTGAGCGCCTTCAGGAGGATCGCATGGACAGTTGACACAACCCGCAAGATGGCACATGATATTTTTGAACTAGATGCTAGTACTGATCGGTCAGGGGCCAGCTTACGTGTCACGAGCTGTACATGTGCAATTTTAATTTTAAATACTATACTTTTAAAAAATGTACGACCATTTTATTATTTTTTTATTGTTAATCAAGGCAGGATGTTTTATGTCTTTCTTGTATGTCCACTCTATGTGTTTTTTATATGTATCGACCTTATTAAGAAAAATCTAGCACTTTTATGACACTTTCAATACTAATCTAAGCTATTTTCTTTTTTAGGAAATATTTCCAACTTCTGATTCAAACCTCATAAGATCTTTGACAAATTTATTTGACTGTTTTCTGAATGACTTCTACGATGAAGAATTTGTCAAGAATATCTCTGATTTAGATACAAGGGCACAGTTGGAGGTGAGTTTAACTGTTTTGATGCATTCTTGGCTGAGAATACCTAAATTATTCTTTTTAGTGATTTTCCTTTAAATTTGTTTATTGTAAAATGTTTCCTCAAATTTAGTTTTTATAGTTACAATGGTATTTTAACTATTTATTTTTTTATTTTTGATGAGTTACTTTTTTACTTGTTCTTAAAAGTGTATTTGTGTATTTATATAGGTTATTTACCTTTTTCCAGGGTGTGTTTTTCTTCTCGTGTATCTGGTCCATTGGAGCATGTTTGAACTCTGCTGGCCGGGAACAGTTCAGTGTTCTGTTCCAAGGATTGTTGCTGAAGGAGTTTCCAGCTCACCTGAAGGAACAATTTGGTCTACCAGATCACCTCATCATGAATCCCTTAAAACCCTACATTTATACAATTCCTGAACAAGCGACAGTATTCGACTACAGGTTCATAAAAGAAGTGAGTATGCTTGCCTGGTTGATTTTAAATGTTGTTAAATTTGTGAGTGGTTTGAATACTTGTCCCATTTTTGCTGCCCAATAATATTTTGTGTCCCAACTTCATATTCTAGAACAATAGGTTCTAGCGCAAATCTGTTTTCACATTACTTCAGACTAAGCCCAGAGGGTTGACAGCATTATCATTATCAAATATGTATAATCCGTTAGAGATTTGTGGGATATAAACCCAGGACCTCAGGGTCTGGAGACCCACGCTCTACCACTAGACCAGCTTACTCCCAAACTCCTTTATTATTGATCATGTATTCTGTTAAATTTCTATAAAAACTTTTTTTTAATCAGGAGGGTTACTCATCAACACTCATTGTATTTCATTGAATAAATCGGTTGCTCAGGTTGTTTGACAGCAATGTAGGAGGTTTGAGTTGTGATTTTTGTCATTTTAATTTACCCTTACATTTCACTCCTGTACTGTACCAGCTCACTCCTTGCTTTGCTGGATACGTTCTAGGCACAGACTCAAGGACTATGTCGATGGACAAATTTTAGGCAAAAAAGGCCACCACACTCTTTAAAAATAAACTTGATGTGTTTCTTGGTGTTGTAGGGTAAAGGCAAGTGGAAGCTGTGGTCAGAGGACTTAACATCTGCATCACCCATCCCTAGAGACATCCCTGTCAACCAGATAATTGTTCCCACCGTAGAAACAGTCCGGAATATGGCTTTGATGCATCTCCTCGTGATGCATCAAAAACCTGTCATGTTTGTTGGATCTACCGGCACCGGAAAGTCTGCTTATACAATGGTAAATAGATTTTGAGCTAGGCTACGTTCGCTTTATTGTAAATTTGTATGTGATAGTGAATTAATAGTTAGTATAGTAATAGTAGTAGATAGTTGTGGAGTAGCTAGTTAATGATAAGCTAGTAAATCCATCAAGTTTTGCTCAAAGAGCCCGGCAGCAGGTGCTCATCAGTTTCTATTAAAATAGTAATTGAATTTAAAGAAACTTTTTTCACCGGTCCCGGTCGGTGTGTTTCAGATAGTCCTAAAAGGAACTCGCCTGTTAGTTAAAAAATCTCACTCATTCAGACACATTGGGATCCGAATGAAAATTAATTCCCCTAGCTTAGGCTTCAAAAGAGAGGAATGGCAGCAGTCAGCCTACACCGTGTAAAACATGGTGCAAATATTACCACTTTATACTCCTTCCATCCCTTGCGCACATTTTCTGAGACCCCAAAAATGTAATCACAGATTGCAATCGATACTTGGCGGGAGTGTTAATTTTCTTTCACAACATTTTCAAATGCTATGAAAAGACTAATTGTATTTTGGGAGGGAAGGGGGAACCGGCTAAAATAGTAGAGTATCAGGACAAGGATTAACAATTGGCCTCAGATAAGAACTACTAGCTTGCTTGCCGCCACGGAAGCCCAATGGAGACCTCTTGATTTCTGAACAACCCTCATACTAATGCCATAACAATGTGTTTCAGGACTATCTGTTAAAGAAGATTGATAGTAACATTTACAAGCCAATGTTTATCAACTTTTCTGCTCAAACCTCTGCAAACCAAACCCAAGACATAATCATGGCCAAGTTAGATAAACGGAGGAAAGGTATAGTATCGTGTTTCTATTAGAGGGAAATAGTTATTTACAATTTTATGTCAATTTCTGTTTTTCTTTTACCTCTCATTACCTCGTTTTTCCAGGTGTCTACGGCCCGCCACTAGGCAAGAAGTGTGTGGTGTTTGTGGACGATGTCAGCATGCCAATGAAGGAGACTTACGGAGCTCAGCCTCCCATAGAACTGTTGAGGCAATGGCTCGACCATCAGATATGGTACGACCGCAAGGAGGTGGTCGCCATGAAACTTATTGACATACAGGTAAGGGAAACTGTCAAAACACAATGTACCTTGTATATTTCTTTTCCAGTTTGTGATTGGTGAGTCAGTGGCTTAGTTGGTTGGTATTAGTCCACTAGACTGTTTCGTCCACTAGACAGTCATGAATGTCGTGGATTCAAATCTTGGGCTGCCACTTATAATTTGTCAGTACAGTTTAACTCTAGTGGATCCGGGAGCCCATGAAGAAGGTTCAAGGCTAAAAAAAGGTTGCCACTAACTGAACAAGGATGGTAGGAATACAAAAAAATGTCTAAACGTATTTGGTGTGATAGCAATCTGGATGGGTACAGCTTTAGATAGTCCAAAAAACCATTAGCAGGAAATGAGAGCCTTTTATACAACTGTGTGTACTGTAACATGACATAGACTGCAGACAGACAGAATTAATTAGCACAAAATGGCTGTTGCGTAAGATTTACCTCAATATTTTAAGGGGTCTTCAAAGTAAGACGGTTGATGGCTTAAAGTTATGACTTGAACACAAAAATCAAATTTTCTTTCTAGAGAGAAAACATAGTTTTTTGGTAAGTTTGTTGATGATGTGTTGCAGCTCATGTGTGCAATGGGTCCTCCCAGTTCAGGCAACACAGTCACTCCTCGGTTCAGTAGACATTTCAACATTGTGGTCATCAATGAGTTCACCGATGAAGTCATGGTGACCATCTTTAGTAAGATCATGCTGTGGCATCTGGACACTAGGTAAATGGAAACCGTTGTGCGAAAAGAAAAACACCCCGTTGAATTTTTGAGATATTGGAAATAAAGTAGTTGGAAAGTGATAGATTTTGATAACCATAATGATAAAATGTGCCTTATTTGTACTGTGTAGCATCGTATACTATTTTAGATAGAAGGCACCAAGCTTCCCAACACCTTTGTGGTTTAAAACTCTTTATTTTAGAAAAGATTCCATAGCTATTTCATGAAAATTAATAAGTTGATTTAGTTTGATTCAATTGGATATCTCGTTGAAGTGTGTGGTTAAAATAAAAAAATTACGACTAAATTAGGTTAAATTAATTTTTAACAGTACAATGACAAAAATGAAATGATAAAGTCTTGCATTGGGACTTTTCATGACTGAACCATCAAAACCAATACTATGATTTGAATACACTTGATGACTACTCAGTCAATTGTTAAATTTAGTTTTTATCTTCATAAACTATATTATCAGTGGGAAAAGGATATAATTACTCATGCAAAACTTCTGGAAAATGATATGTGAATGGCTCCTGTACTAATTACAATGACAGAAAAGTCTATTGTTTCACATATTTCTGACAGTTAGTTATGTTTGTTGTACAGAGGGTTCAGTAAGGAGTTTGACCCTTGTATTGACCAGCTGGTGTCAGCCACACTACTCATCTACAAGCAGAGTCTGGCCAACCTGCTGCCCACACCAGCCAAGTCCCACTACTTGTTCAACCTACGTGACTTTTCCCGCGTCATTCAGGTGTGTAAACTATACAACCTACATAAATGAGATTAAACTAATTATAAACTTAACCTTAACTTTTCCAGGTCTAAATGTCATGAAATACACTGTTTTGCGTAAAAGACACTTAATATGTTTAAACACAATTTAGCCATACCCATAATTATCTCGATGAAAAAAATCATTTGGAAATTTTATCGAAGACAACGCAAACAAATTTAACACATTTGTTAAATGCTAGCGTGCTAACCTGTTTTAATGATTTGATAAAGAAAGATTATTAAGGAAAACTAAAGAAAATAAAGGCTTAGAAAAATAAAACTAAATTTACTATACTATGTGTCATTTATTTATGCATTATCTTTTGACAGAACAAATATTTGTTGCCTTGTTATTTTGTTATTGCTTGTTAAGTTTGACGATGTCTATTACAATATGTGTATATTTTTGAAGGAATAAAGAATTTGTCTATTGTCTATGCGTTATGCATGTTGTATTTTATTTGATCATGTTCAATTTTTTTTTTTTTCATCGCAATAATCACAACAAAGTCTAAGGCAACAGCACCAGTAAATGGAAAACTATAAAATTAAATTATGTATAAATGGAATTGTGAAACAGTGATCTAGAAGGTAGGCTAACATGGTTAATGCAGATTAAATCTTAGGAGATGACTGAGTCATTGAACTGGCAAAAATATTGGCCTATACCTAAGATGTGGAATGTTCAGCCTGTTTTGAACATTGATTGCTGCAACCCGTTATAAATGTGGGTTCAGTATTTTGGTCATTCATCTGTGATGTTTGGGCCTGACAGTTATTATTTTTTGACTGTGCAGGGAGTGTTGCTGTCAGTACCTGAGGCTATGGAGGATCTGCTGGCCATGAAGAGACTCTGGGTGCACGAGGTGTTGAGAGTCTACCATGACAGACTGGTAGATGACAAGGACAGAGATTGGTCAGTCATTTCTGCTATGTTTGGGCCTGACAGTTATTATTGTTTGACTGTGCAGGGAGTGTTGCTGTCAGTACCTGAGGCTATGGAGGATCTGCTGGCCATGAAGAGACTCTGGGTGCACGAGGTGTTGAGAGTCTACCATGACAGACTGGTAGATGACAAGGACAGAGATTGGACAGTTTTGTCTGCTATGTTTGTGCCTGTCAGTTATTATTGTTTGAATGTACAGGGAGTGTTGCTGTCAGTACCTGAGGCTATGGAGGATCTGCTGGCCATGAAGAGACTCTGGGTGCACGAGGTGTTGAGAGTCTACCATGACAGACTGGTAGATGACAAGGACAGAGATTGGACAGTCTTGTCTGCTATGTTTGTGCCTGTCAGTTATTATTGTTTGACTGTGCAGGGAGTGTTGCTGTCAGTACCTGAGGCTATGGAGGATCTGCTGGCCATGAAGAGACTCTGGGTGCACGAGGTGTTGAGAGTCTACCATGACAGACTGGTAGATGACAAGGACAGAGATTGGACAGTCTTGTCTGCTATGTTTGTGCCTGTCAGTTATTATTGTTTGACTGTGCAGGGAGTGTTGCTGTCAGTACCTGAGGCTATGGAGGATCTGCTGGCCATGAAGAGACTCTGGGTGCACGAGGTGTTGAGAGTCTACCATGACAGACTGGTAGATGACAAGGACAGAGATTGGTCAGTCATTTCTGCTATGTTTGGGCCTGACAGTTATTATTGTTTGACTGTGCAGGGAGTGTTGCTGTCAGTACCTGAGGCTATGGAGGATCTGCTGGCCATGAAGAGACTCTGGGTGCACGAGGTGTTGAGAGTCTACCATGACAGACTGGTAGATGACAAGGACAGAGATTGGACAGTCTTGTCTGCTATGTTTGTGCCTGTCAGTTATTATTGTTTGACTGTACAGGGAGTGTTGCTGTCAGTACCTGAGGCTATGGAGGATCTGCTGGCCATGAAGAGACTCTGGGTGCACGAGGTGTTGAGAGTCTACCATGACAGACTGGTAGATGACAAGGACCGGGAGTGGATATTTGACTTGCTGCATCAAGTTGTGGCATCCAACCTAGAGGAGGACCTGGACCAGATGTTTACTCACCTGGTTAAAGACAAACCTCCCGGGAGCCGGGTATGATTGTTTTTGTTTTTCTGGGTCATTGGAAGTTTTACGTTTTTAAGAAGGGGACAGTCTAAACCCTAGTCTTGTTCTTTAATTTTGAAATTTTGATACACAGCACCATTAATTAAATGACAAATTGCATATGGGCCCATTGAAAAAATCTTGCCACAATCAAGATGGTTGAGTACAGTGCAGTGTGGTGGGTGATTAAAGATAATCTGTATTGATCATTGATGGCTCAAAAGGCTTAAGGTTTTTAGCTAGGATTGATTGATATGAATTGCTAATTATTGCAGATTCTTCTAATATTTTTTTATATTTAAAATGAATTTTGGGAAACAATTTATTTACTGATTTCATTAGTGTGATGAATCGAAAACTCCAGCTGTCGTAATTTTCTGCTGTTACATGCATGTCGGAGACAACATAGTACATCAAGATTTATCTTCTGCATTGATTCAACAATTCTGTTGAAATTACAGGTAGGGGAGACTGAACTACGCAGACTGTTGTATTGTGACTTTGCCAATCCCAAGGCCGATGTCAGGAACTACATAGAAGTCACTGATTTAGATGCTCTACGAAATATTGTGGAAGGTTTCCTCAACGAGTTTAACAACATGAGTAAGAAACCAATGAACCTCGTCTTGTTTAGGCAAGTGTTCATTGGTTAGGTTTATACCTAAATCAGATTATTTTATTAAAACATTAGATTAATTACTTTGTATGGTAATTATTTTGCTTTTGGTTTTTCCAAAATTAATTCTTGTAGGTAGCAAATTCTCTCAAAACGTATTGCAAATATTAAGATTTTTATGATCCGGATTTGTTAGAGGTACATCAATTTTTTGACTGTAGGAAACTGACTAGTCAACTAATTTAAGTGTGAAGCTAAATATCTTAGAAAATTGTTTTCAAATCCTGCCTTTAAGCTTTATGATCGAGTGAGTCTTAGTTTACCTTAAACTCCTTTGATAAGGAGAATGTTCTCTATATTAGAGAACACTTTGAGATAAAAGCGATACAACGTTCATCTTCATATAAAGGTTCCCATGGTCACACATGTTAAAGATGTGGTGGTCCTGAAGCAATAACAGTGTTAAAACAGATGATCATCAACTTTTACCATTGTTCTGGCCTGGATACAATTAAAGACTTTGATTCTATTTGATACCATTATAATTAATTATAATATAAACTTTTCCTGTAAATCTACTATCTCATTGCTAGAAAATGTTAACGTAACTTTTTAATTTTCGCTTGCAGGTTTGCTATTGAACACTTGTCTAGAATCTGCCGTATTCTCAAGCAGCCCAGAAGCCATGCATTGTTGGTTGGCGTAGGTGGAAGTGGACGACAGTCACTCACTCGTCTAGCTGCTCACATCTGCGAGTATGACCTCTTCCAGGTAAACAAGGAATCTTAGTTCTTTCTTACTAACAGCAATGATATATCAATGTGTGAAACATCAATGTAAAGAAGAAATATATTGCAACAAAAACTATTACTTAATATAAAGTCAATGTATGCAAATGTTTATTTACATCTTTATAAATACACATAATATATTTTTTGTAGATATTATAGCTAAACCTTGTATATATTATTATATTTCTATTTAACCTACCATTTTTCTATTTAGGTAGAGATGGGCAGACAGTACGGAATGTATGAGTGGCATGAAGACTTGAAGAACATCTTACTGAAGGCCAGCGCTAGTGACCAACACGTGGTGTTCTTGTTTACAGATTCACAGGTAAATCACCAACTTACTGTTTAAGATTTAGACTCAGCTGAGGTGTATTTGGATCCAAATAAGAGTAACAAATACTTGGCCTATTGTGCAAGGTACGTGAGCCCCTGCGGACAATTCTCGCCCCATCGGTAATAACCAGAGACGAGAGACACTTCTCAGCAAACCTCTCTCTGGCGCTACGAGCTTCCCGACTTGCCGGCGATATCCCCCACTCGGGGGACCCAGAGACGAGAGACACTAGAGGGTGCACACCCTCAGGCAAACCTCACTCTGGGCGAGCTAGGGTCCGCGTGGCACCATTGAGAATACATGTATTAGAGTAGACACTAATGTGGGCTATTGTTACCTGAACAGCGCTGTTGCAGAGAAGCATTAGCGGCCTGAACTAAACGCAGTTTAGATGTTTTTTAATATTGCGTTTGCTGAAGGTTGTAAGTTTTTGTTTTTAGTTGATGAAGTTTGTTTCTTTGGTCATAATTTTGAGGTTTTATAATGCTATGTGTCCCCTCTAATACGTATATACTCAATGGCAGTACCGAACAAAATATTAATTCTAAGTATTGCCTTCATTCTAAAAAAAAACACACTGTGAACATGTTGAGTGTATTTCAATGTAATTCTAGCTGTTAAGGAAAGCGTGTGAAATCAACAATTTTCCTTTACTTTACAAAAAAAAATTGTTTGTGTTTGTTTTGAGTTTCTGAAAGTAGTCAACATTTATTTACAGATCAAAGAGGAGGCTTTTGTTGAAGACATCAACAACATGCTCAACTCTGGGGAAGTTCCCAACTTGTTTGGGATTGATGAGAAAGCAGAAATTTGTGAAAAGATGAGAACCATCGACAGACAGAAAGACAAATCTCAGCAGGTTGGTTTAAGAAATATACATGATGTATATATACTTGAAAAATTCTACATAGAATGATGTTTCATTACCATTATAACTGCTTATTTCTGTATCCTTTTGCAGACTGATGGAAGTCCTGTAGCTTTATTCAACTTGTTTCTACAAATTGTCAAGGATCAGTTACATGTGGTTCTAGCATTCAGCCCAATCGGAGATGGTTTTAGAACACGAATTCGTAAATTTCCAGCTTTGGTGAATTGCTGCACAATCAATTGGTTTCAGGTAAGCATTTATGTCGTAAACTAGCTGTATAATGTCCATAATACAAACTAGGTGAAGTAATTCTATCAAACAAAAGTTTGTACGTATTATCATTTTTGGTATTATTGTGTGAATTTGGAATTATTGTTGACTTATATGTTGTGTGATTGGTTGATATTTACCAGACATGGCCACCAGACGCTCTACTGGCTGTAGCTAAGAGGTTCCTGGGAGACATAGAGTTGCCAGAGACAGAACGTCAGGCTTGTATAGACATGTGTCAGGAGTTCCACACGTCCACTCAACAGCTGAGTGTAGAGTATCTGTTGAGGACTCAACGTCACACCTACGTCACCCCGACATCGTACCTGGAGCTCATCAACACCTTCAAAGATATACTGTCCATGAAACGAGAGTAAGTCTTCCAGTTATACTTACTGTAGATTAGGAGTTTTTGGGCCAGGCTTTTCTGCAGGTCAAAAATGTTGTTGTTTGATCTCCTCCTTATTGCGGTGAAATTAAGAACATCTTCCGTGGTTTTGGCATCATCACCATCTCCCACATTAGCAAAAAACCATGAACATCACTCGGGATCGTGGGAACTTAGCCATTTTTGATCAGACTTCCTCAAGGTCGCTTTCAGTGATCACAAAAAAAGTTTAACTTGACTCGATCCAGCTCCTACTGGGACTGAAAATCATTTCCAGCTGAACCGATTCCTAGTGCCAACTGTTGGCCCGACCCGACCTGAAAATTTTGGGGACCTGCAGATCTCCACTGTAGGTTACAACTTACTCCTAAATATGTTGCTTTATGTAAAACACTGAAAAGCAATGTTATTAATTAGGGTAATGAGTTTAATCTGAAACCTTGGCACAATTTCTTGGAATTTAATAATTTTGAATTTCGAATGGCTGTTTAAGAATGACAATACATAAGCTTTAAGATTAGTTTAAACTTTTTCTGGACACTCAATTGAAGTAAAAAGTAGGAGCATCTACAATCATTCTATTCAGATTTACATAATTTGAGTTTGACCACTAATCGGGTTGTAACATAGGGAGTTGGTGGTTGGCAAGAAGAGGTATGAAGTGGGTCTGGAGAGTCTACAGAAAGCGGCTAAGGAGGTCGGTGTGATGAAGACTGAGCTCGTTGCTCTACAGCCTCAACTGCAGCAAGCTACTGAGAACGTCAAGGCTGTCATGCAGAAAGTGGAGACGGAGAGTGAAGACGTGGCTAAGGTTAGTGTCTACCCCAGTGGCATTGAGAAACAGCAGTCCTAACTCCTTAAATGTTTTTGTTATGCTGGAATCACACATACTCCTCTCGCACTAAACTCTGAGACTAACTACTAGGCTGGGAGGTCACAGTTTACTTCCTGCTAACCTCCGTGGGTATTTTTATTTTTACTCATGTAGGTACCTCAGCAACACAACGCCTTTACTTGTTGTGGCTATCTTGTCCATCTGCTTCCACAATCCCTATTCTTTGTGTCATCCTGTCTTGTTCCTAATGTGGTTTTATTGTTTAATGAACTGTGATTTATATTTTACCTACCTAACCTAGCCCTAAAAGTCGATAAATAATGAATAATGGCTAAAATGTACCTTTTTTGACAATCCTGAAACAGTAGAGTAGGTAACGGTAAGATCATTGAACGCGATTCCGGGACTATAAAAATGAATTTGAAATATTAATAACCCCATAAAATATATTTTAATCGCAACTTACCGTACCAATCAGATGAGCTGTAACCTCCACCTTGTCCCCCAGATTCCAGATTTCCCTCATTAGTTTTTGTCGTTCTTCTGATCTGCTTTGTATTGAGTTTGTCGTTAAATAGCTTAGAGGTTCAAGAATGCCTGTCGTTTTGGGAATGAGCAACCCTTTCTTTAGGCACTCCTTTGACAGTGGCTCTGATCTGAAAATCATTGTGAGTTTGGAGTAGAGTCTAAAACAAAACAAAAAACAGACAAGTAGTACTGTCAGTCAGTGTCAAAATGCTTTCCCTGGAGAATTGTTTTGTCTGCACACTTGAGGCAGAATTTAAAAATGTGAAAAAAAGATCTATTTTTACTTCTATATTCACATTTAATGTTACTTATTATAATAATTTATCATTTTTATCACTTGATGCTGGTTGGCAAACTTACACTTGAGGCATTTAAGAGAAAATGCAAAACAATTAATTGGTGTCCACAGGTGGAAGCAGTGGTGAGAGAAGACGAGGCGGTGGCCAATGAGCAAGCAGCCGCGGCGCAAGTGATCCGCTCTGAGTGTGACGCTCGACTAGCCGAGGCAATGCCTATATTGGAGGCTGCATTGGCAGCCCTCGACACTCTGACACCGGCAGACATCACTGTGGTCAAGTCCATGAAGAGTCCTCCCAAGGGAGTCAGGCTGGTCATGGAGGCTGTGTGTATATTGAAGGTAAATAAGTGGCAGTGTTGGTTAGAACATGTCTTCAAAGGTGAACCCTTTCACCTTAAACATAAAACGACATAGGGATCAGTGTCCTATCCCTAGCTTTATGAATGAGCTGCAGCAATAGGCAAATAAATAGGCTCATGTAAATAAATATTGAAAGGTGACACAGTTATTGGTAATGGTGATGAAATTGAGCTCATTTCTCTTTTGATGGCTCATACAGACCAAGACCTTTCATTAGACACCTCTACCAAGTTCCTACGCCAGGGTGTCCACCGACCGGGAAAATCCGGGAAAACCGGGAATTATGCGTGAATTTTGTATTTAACCGGAAGTTTTTTGCCGGGACCGCGGGAGACGACGATGGCGTTCCCGAGACCGTGAGAGACAATGATGACGTTCCCGAAAACCGCGGGAAACGACGATGACGTTCCCGAGACCGCGGAAGACGACGATGACGTTTCCGTGACCGTGAGAGACGACGATGGCTATCCGTGATCGTGGAAGACGATGTTGACGTTTCCATGACCGCGGGAGATGACAACGACGTTTCCGTAACCACGGGAGACGATGACGACGTTTTCGTGACCGCGGGATACGACGATGACGTTTTCGTGACCGCGGGATACGACGATGACGTTTTTGTGACCGCGGGAGACAACAATGACATTTCCATGCCCGTGGGAGACGAAGATGACGTTTCCGTGACCGCGTGAAACGATGATGATGTCCAACTGCCACGGGATATGTTAGTGATTTTGCCGCGATCGCGCATGCGGACAATGATTTTCCCGTGACCGCGGGAGACGACGATGACGTTTCTGTGACCGCGGGAGACGATGACGACGTTTCCGTGACCGCGAAAGACGACGATGGCATTTCCGTGACCACGGGAGACAACGATGATATCTCCGTGACCGCGGGAGACGACGATGATTTCCAATATTGCTTGAAATGATGACTGCGGGAAATTATTTTAATTAAGCTACGATCGAGGAAGATTATGATAACTTTTTAATTTCTGCATAATTTATTCTCTAGGCCACTTAGAAAACAACCCATTACTCCAAAATTATACAATATGAAAGTACATAAAGCCAGGGGCTGGTGTAGTAATCCTTAAGAAAATTTAGTAAAATAGAAATTATCAGTATTAAGGATCTATTTTTCAGGTACATTTTCAGGTTTTTTATTAGTAGCCTACAGAGATTCGATAAATTTTGGTATCGGCATATCACTATTTTTAGGAAGTTATTAATAAATTGCAGGTTTAAGGATTAGTTTTTAATTTTTGGATTATTCAATCAGTAATATATAAAAATTGAAAACTTGTGTCAGGCAATATTACAGCAACCATATTTTTAGCGAATTTCCCTATAGGGAAGTAGCTATTACCGTAGGTGGCACGGTAAGACCTAGACCCGGGACCGATTTTCTTTTTCATTTTGATGTCCCCAGAGGCCAAAAACACTATTCGTTCAAATTTTTATATATGTATATATATATATATATATAGACATATATATATATATATATATATACACGAGGAGAACGTTAAGTACTCATGATATATCTTATACACGATGCGAACGTTAGGTCCTCATGAGTCCGAGTATTTTACGTTTGCTGGGTATATATTTTAACGAATATAAGATTGATCGTCAGCACATTAAGTCCTCACATTGCTACCAACGTAAATGAAATAAATTGCCCAGCTTTTCGAAAACCAAATATTACAACAACTATCAGTTACCAATTACTGATTTAGTTTCTTAGCAATAATCTTGAATATAAACGCTGACTGTTATTTATATTTTAGTATTTTTAGTTTTTTTACGTTATTTGTTTGGTTGCCAACAAAATATTTGAGAGAAGAATGTTTTATATAAATAACCCGGCCTGGGACTATCAATACATTTCTTGTATGAATAAAATATACAGTAGTTTCATTTGTACATGGCACATTATTACTGTTTTTTAATCGCAGTTGTCACGCTGAACGTTGTTTGTCATTTCAGTTTTCTTATCTTTATAAGACCGAGCATAGGCTTTAATATAGATAACTTTACTAATTAATTTACTGTTAATTGTTATTTTGTTAACGATTATGATGATATACAAGACTTAGACACCTGCAACGTATACGATAATTTTTTAAACTCAATGTAAAACATAAAAATATCTACAGTTAAATTGTCTACCAATCGGTAGTAATACTAAAGAGTATTCCTGTTTAAGTTCTTAGTAGTATTGAGTGAGGCCTGGCTGATAACGGTTTTTCAGTTAGTACATATAGGCTACGTACAGAATACTAGTATACTGTAGGCTACATGAATCAGAAAACCCGTTGAACAGAATCAAAAAGTTGTGTACAGGGACAGTGCACCAGGGTGGACGGCTACGACCACGACAGTGTGCTCTCGTGGTCACGTGCCGTGAGCTGTGCCGTGGAGGCGTGGCAGCTGGTTGTCAGTGTTGTCTTGTCACTAGTCTCGTCACCCGTGCGTGCTGCTCGGTGTGTACCGCGGCCCAAGCTCAAATATATATATGGTTAACGGTCCTTGAAACTACAATAATTATCATGAAGGTGATCGTATAATAGGATTTTAGTATGGGACATCAAAATATTATTTTAAATATAGGCCTTATAACTCAATTCTTACTCGCTTCTATCTCAAACAGATTTCTAGTGAAGTTAAAACTGTAAAAATTTACCTTTTCTTCATGCTTATAACTTAAAACAAGGCAGATTTTATTTAACCACGATAACCAATCCTTCTATTTCATTAAAAACGCAGAACATTTCTAATTTACTTAATCGAAGGAAGAAGGAAAACTTAGTTTAACTTTACTAGTCCCATATGTTTGATTAGCTTACGCGATTAACGATCTTTTGATTTAATTGATAGAAACGATCTAATAGGTTAATAAGATGGTATATGTAACGAAGAACAAACTCTTATATGGTACTAGGTGAAACCTGTCGAAATCGACGGTTACTGTCAAGGTTTACGCTAATTCATCTACGGAAAGTTAGGTCTAGTGGAATATACTTGAAGTGAAGTCGGCTTTTATTCTTGGACTGTTAGGGACCTCCTCGTTTATATATTTGTGCGCCTTCATTGGCAACAAATAATGCAAATAACAGAGCAATGCGGCATTTCCAAAAGGCATAAAATACTTTAAATTGGCCGTTACGTAAATATTGACGTTTACATGCATTGTTAAACAACGTGTCTTAGAAAGGATGATGTGATCTAGTTTAAAAGGAATATGACCTTTCTATAATGACGGTACTGCCTAAATAGTATTTACTCTTTGTACTGTACCTATTTTTACAGAGTAAATGTCGTGCTGTTTTCAATCATGTTAACAACCCAGTGGGCCACGGTCCATAATATAGGCCGCTGCAAATAATTTGTCGAGACAGGTACCATTTTAGGCAAGGTTTCTGTGTTTGGATGTTATTAGACACGATAAGAGCACAATGAACTTCTTCTGCAGATGAATAATCTGTTGGTTAAGAGAAATATAAGCCAAATTATAAGGGTCACAATCCAAGTGAATTAAACTCTCTGGCCTGAATTTTTTTGTAGTATCGAGTTTGATATGTCTTGAATAGTATGATAAAATACAGGCAAAAGTGGTCAAAAAGGCAGTCACCAACCCATGCAACAGATATAAGATAGTTCAATAAGAAATTATAGTAAGAGTTCTGTGATCAAAGGAATTTCCACTAATTTCATAATGAAACGTTGTATTGAAAAACATGACATGATACAGAAAAAAAACAATTTTAAAATCAGAAAATAACATTGCAAGTACTTCTTTTTGACAATAAAGTAACTCCCAGTAAATGTGTGTTGTTTTAAAACACAATTTAAAAATTAACAGCTGTTTCATTAAAAAGTATTATCCACATGGACAAAATGTCAACCAATCCGTCGAGGGATCTTTAAAGGCTTCTGGGGCGGAGCCTAAAGGGATTTACTTAAATTTACTTCGTTTTTCTTTTGATGACTCATCTACATACCAAGACCTTTCTTTGGACACCTCTACCAAGTTTCGACGCCCAGTCGTTTCCTCTTAGTGGAGACAACGTTTCCAATTAAATATTTTGATTTCCCCAGGTTAATCTAATCTGAGAAAACCCAAATTTAATTGAAGATCCTGCCCAAACTAATTAAGATTTCAAAAAACGAAAAACACTTTGCAAAACTACAGATCGGGGCAATTTTTTTGACACTTATCATCAAAACCGGTCCAAAAATAAGGGAGGAGTTCTGTTTACAAAAATCGGCTTAGCATATTAGATACAAACTATTTTTAGTCTTGCGAACTTGTAGCTTAAAAAGGGAGTAGAAAATTATGTTACAATGGTAGAATATTGCTTAGTCCAAGGCAGTACTCTTAGACCTCTATTATTTTATATTTATATATAGATACAAACTATTTTTAGTCTTGTGAACTAGTAGCTTAAAAAAGGAGTAGAAAATTATGTTAGACTGGTAGAATATTGCTTAGCCCAAGGCAGTAGCCTACTCTTAGACCTCTATTATTTTATATTTATATAAACAACATATCGTAAGTTAAATTAAAAAGCAAAGTGATATTGTTCGCTGATTTTGTGACCACCATCAGTACGTGGGACCAATTGTTCGATTCCTCGTTGACATGTCAACAAATCAAAATACTGGTTTGATTATAAACACCGGTTTTTCTCAGAAATCACTTTGGACCAGGAGCAAGGTATTTGAAGTTGCACTCGTTGAGGCCATGCACTCGCAACTGGCTGCGTAAGTGAAGCAAGTAAAGTATTTAGAGGTTGTGATTGATATTAAATTAACTTGGGCTCTACATGTTCAATACGTCAAAAACAAAGTACGTAAGCTCATTTACGCATTCACGTAGCTTCGGGAGGTGCTATCGAAGCAATATCAGTTACGGACCGTGTACATTGCCTACATGCAGTCGGTATTATGAAGCAGGCCTATAGTAACTTG